CTGAGGTTTAAGAGAACAAAGGAAGTTTTCTGTTAAAGATTTTTAGTGTTTTAGTTGTAGTCCATCAGTATTTTCTCTTGCAGCTCTGAGGAGCTGTCAGCCACCTTGGGTACAAAAGCACTGTATCTATTTCCCCTCGAAAGAAGCCCTCAGTTTCTTGAACACAGTTATGTTCCTGTGTCAGATGTGAAACTTTTTTTTTGCTAAAGGGCCATCTCTGGATGGACAGAAGATAGTGTCAGCAAAAGCACTGTTGGTTTGTCTCCTCAGCACACTGGGACAATGCCTGACAGACTGTAAACCACATTGGACTGCAGAGGTAATGAAAAACCTGGAATTGTTCTTGGAAAGGAATGAAATTTAGTACAACTTGGTCAGTGATGGAAATGATACTCATAAGACTTTTAGCAATGGTTTCAACCTTTAGTGGGTTGCTACAACATTTCTAATGAAGTTCTTCTTTAAAACACCTCATAAATTAGTTGTAGATGTGAACTGCCACTTTACCTTTCTCTGGGATCATCAAAACCCCATGACATGGTAGTCAGATGATGAATTTTAAAAATGATGCTACACTAACCATTGATAGCCTAAATTTTATACAATCTAAAAATGTTAGACTGCTTTATTTTTTTTGTTTCAGAAAGACTTGGAGAGCTAGTGTGTATCAAGTGAAATGGAAGCTAGGGAATGGTAGCCATGATATTCCTACTATTGTTAGGTTAAATCACAAGAAAAATCAGGAATGTGAGCATAAGTGAGGACTTCTCACTCATGCTTTGGCAGAAATCAGTTATGAATTTTTATTGTAGAAGACGCAAATAAAGCTTATAGTGAAGCCATGTTTGAGCCCTCAATTAGGATTTTAGCTTGTAAGGGAACATGATTGCTGGCTGACTCACCAGCTACATCTCCTGCATGTGTCATTGACTGAGTTGGTTTAATTGGTTCTACACATATTAGAATGCTGTTAACTTGGAGCAGGAAGGAGACTGGGTCTATGGAATGCTATAAAACTGGCTTGACACCACATATACAGTTTCAGACCCAATTATGTCAGACTTCTTTTTGTATGTAGAGTAGTGTGGAGATTGCTCCTTGTATTCTGGAAGTTCCCATTTCTTTCTCTTTTCATGAAGAGAAGAAATCATTGAAACAAATGATACATACAGTAGTGTTTGTGTGGGGCTTGCAGTTATTTTTACTTTGGCATATGGTTCGAATAATTGAGACAGTATTTCAAGATACCTGTAATCTTGTGGGTAATCAAGATATCAAGATATAATTGTTTGACACAAATGTTCCTCAGGGAAATGCAGGAAAAGGTAGTAAGCAAATTCAACATGTACAGTGAAATACCTTTTTAAAAGAAATCTAAATAGACCTTTTTCAAAAAAACAGATTTTGTCTGGCAAATGCAAATACAAGGAGTGCTATCATAATTAGGCTTTCTGAAAGGTGATGCACATTACCTGAGTATTCTCAGGGAAAGAGGCTTATACATTTGTGTGTAATGTGGAATGTTGCAGTCTACCTTTAGCTGGTCTTACTTAAAATATTTTATATGCAGCCTCATTGCAATATTCCTTTGAGTAATTTGGAAAACTAAACACAGTATTGTATTCCTCTTGGTAATAAAGTCCCGTAATCATCAGCTAATTAAGAATACTAAACATGAAGTTGAGATACTGAATATTATATATTTTAGTTGGCATATATATATGCCACATATTGTGCATCTGTGTTTAGTATCAGTATGAACATTTATTGTCTTTGCAATATCTTAGAGGATGTAGCAGACAGGCCTGTGTCTTGCCTGATAGACTTATCAGGTGGCTGAGAGTTGCTGGTAGTTCTGTTTTCCCAGTGGAAACTGTGTAAGAGTACAGAGTCTTTGGTAATTAAGTCTTGTGTCCGTCCCCCCCCTCCCCCCCCAATCATTTTAAAGATCGAAGTGTTCAAGCTCAAAATTCACACCTTTCTTTAGGAGGGATCTGCATGACCTTAGGCAGGCACAAGCCAATGAATAGTTCCTGTGCTCTGGGTTCTTTGGCAAGCTGGGAGCAGTGTAGCTGTTAATAGGATTGGGAGCCTGAGTGAGTGCCTGCTTTGGAGTTGGGAGATACCTGCTCAGTTCCACGTGTCCTCCTGCACAGGGTAAGGAGGATGTGCCCCTGCCTGCTTGTCTCCAGATCCAGCCATGGCTCCCTTCCTTCAAGGGAAGGAATTGGTGTCCCACGAGTGGGCTGGAAGTGACATTTTTGTTCGAAATCTAGGATAAATTGGCAGGTTCTTGAGTGATCCCCCTCCAGAGAAAACGCACGTTTTTACAATTGGTTGATTCTATTTTTGATCACACATCAATAATAATTAGTAATAGCTTGAGCATCCTGATGGTGTTCTTGGTTTGGCATACATCCCAGCCAATGTAGGTTACCTTTGTACTCTTTAAAGCTAACTTGGATTTCAGCATCCAAAGAATGCTGGGAATAAGAAGGAAACCAATTCTCTTTGCAGAGTTGAAAAAGTGGCTGAGGTGAGTTGGGCAAAGAATGCTGTTCAGTGGGGACTCCCAGCCTGGCTGGTCAGCTGAGCGGGGATGGAGAGCTTGCCTAGGTCTGGGAGGTGTTGGGACTCAGGAGTGGTCTGGGTCGAGCTCTGTGTGTGTCAATGGTTTCAGATAGCTGGCTAGAAATAGTTTTGGGGTACTAATTCTCTGATACATTCTGATGCACCTCTCAGCTGCCCTGAGAAGCAGTATTGTTAGGCACGTTGTTTTGACTGACTTAACTGCTGTCTTGCATGGTGTTCTTGGCCGTATATTTTTTATATTCTTCACACAATTGGCTTCTTAACACTTTTGAGTTAATTTTAATGCCCAGTGATATGTTGGTGAATGAATGCTAGCAAGATTCTTGATTTCTGTCCCTACACCACTCCTGTTTCAGTTGTCTTACTGTACAGTATAAGCCTCATCATTTATAGGCCAGATTGACCTTGAATTTTGTTTTATGCCTTAAGTCTTTCCAATTGCTTTACTTTGTGAAAAGATAAAAATTGGGTGTATGGGTTTTTATCCTGTTTGCACCACATAGGGTATTACTCAAAATCATTGCTTTTCTAATCCTTATACCTAAGATTCTTAGAGCTGTGACTCCTAAAGCTTGCTGTGTATGGCAGTCATTTTACTGTGTTAAGATTGGCCCTGGTTCTGCCAGCATTTATTTTTGGAATTACTTGTGATATTTTAAGCAGTTTAAAGCCTTTGAGAAAATAATCAGTCTTAAGTGAGATGTATGGGTTACCTTCATTATAATGTGATTTTATTCAAAGTGAAACAGCAGTAATTTATCCTTTCATAGCAATAGTGAATAAAGGGTATAGACTGAGTGAAATATTAATGCATGTATTAAACTTTGAATTTTGAAACCTCTGGTAATTTTCATTCCTTTCTTTTATAAAAGATGGTGTCAAATGCTAGTGTTGGAATCAATTTTTTCCAAGATTTTATTTAAAAGATATGTGTTGGGATCTTTGTGTTTTGGGTTGTTGCAGATTTTTTTTCCTTTTTTTCTTCTTTTTATATACCTGACTTTTGCTGTCCAACAGTGACAAGAACCAACCGGAGCCTTTCTGATGCTTATGTTGGTATCTTATTATCCCTGCCTGTGGTTGGCATCCCTGCCTCTGAAGACTTCCAGCAAAATTTGATACCATTTTCAGAAAGAATGCTAATAAGCATATGGAAATTGGAAATTTCTCCTAGTCTTCTAGGAGAGCTCTTAGGTGTCATGTTGTTGATGGAGAGTAAGTGGGAAGGTTGATTACCACTTGTTTGGGTTTGGCCTGTGTTGTTCTGCTTGTTTTCTGAAGGCATTCAGTGGGTCTTCTTTTTGATATTAAGTGAAAGTAAAATACTGATGGATTTGATTGACAGGAAAGTTCTTTGTAGCATTGTATCCAAATAAAAGCTTCTGTTTCAGCAATCAGTTACTAAGTCTATATATTGTGCTTCAGATAAATGCACAGTGTGATGGGATGGAGTGTTTTATTTCAGTTAAAATTTTCCTTTAATTAGATTCTATTGGAGGATCTTGGGAAGAGATTTTTCTTCCCTGTAGCTCAGTGTCTTTAGTATCTTAGTAATTATTTATAGGCTGTACTGCAGAATTCTTTGTGGCATGGAGTAATTCAGTGTTTTGAGGAAATCAGCAAAGTTCAAAATAAATAGTTACCAGCAATACCACTTCAGTTCCTCTTCAGCCTTGGTTTTACCAAGTTTTAACATTTGCTAGGCAGCTGGCTCTTCCTTTGAGGTGCACCTGGATTTCCTCTCAGTTGGGCTGGGGAGGGATTAAAATCTTGAGTTACTTTGTGTCAAAGCCTCTCATATTTTCAGATGCTGAAGGGAAACTCTAGTGAGGGATTCACTGGAAGATGCCTCCAGCAGCTGCTCTTTTGTTCTTTGCACTGGTCAAGAAATAGCAGCTGATAATGGTCAGCACCAGTTAACCTTTGCTTTCCCAGGCTCACTGCTTTCCTGACTCTAGCAGCACCTCTTGCTTTTTCCCCAAAATCCTGGGGTCTGTCCAGGCACAGTGGGACTGGGGATCAAGGACACTTGGTGTACAAGTGACCTGAAGAGAAAGTGAGAAGAGAAAAGAGGCAGCAGTGTGATGCCTTACTGTGAGACTTTGAGCTGTTGTAGATTTATGGGCATAGATTCTTGGTGACTGTTTTCTGCACACTGGCAATGCTAGAGGATTCTTGGTGTACATCAGAAATGTGGCAGCCCTGCTCCTTGTCCTGGCACTTTAGGGTTCAGTGAAGGTGAGCAGTGGGTGGTCTGGGGGGTTACCCTGATATTCTGCTTCAGTGTCCATCAGTAAAGTAGTTGATTGTTTCTGTATCTATATTTCTACAGTTTCTGTGCCATTATTTTAGTTTATCGAGTTGTTTTAAAATAAGCTTTTATTTCTATTTATTTTTATAATGGAAAGTCGGAGCTGATCCTGGATCCTGTGGTATTTCTGTACTGCAGAGATGAGCTCTGTGAGTATACATCAGGAGTTTCTCGGGGTTTGTCTTTGTGGATTAGCAACATACTTGCATGTTCCTTCTATAATACTGTATTGCTGGTGATGCTTGTGTGACTTCTGACAGCCTTGGGCTCCTGGAGAAATAAATGATCTCGGTGTTGCTTTGTGCCTATTGTATATTTTTTCCTTTGTTGGATGCCGCAGGTTTGCTGGAAAAAAGGAGTTTAAAAAGGACAACTTTTGCATCCTGTTCTTTGTGTCGATACAGGTGGCGACAGACAAGGTTGCAGGCAAGCTGAGCTCCACTCTCTCATGGGTGAAGAACACGGTGTCGCACACCGTCAGTCAAATGGCCAGCCAGGTGGCGAGTCCATCTGCCTCCCTCCACACCACATCCCCCTCCACCACTCTGTCCACACCCGCCCTCTCACCATCCTCCCCGACACAGCTCAGCCCCGACGACTTGGAATTACTGGCTAAACTTGAGGAGCAGAACAGGTGAATGGAAAACTTTTTGCTTTTCGAAGTACAGTAATGAGACTAAAATTGGTTTGTTGCAATTGTAGCATAGAGGCTGTTAAAGGGGAATTAGTTAAAAATTTCATGGCACTGCACTTCAATTTGAAAGCCCAAAGGTTTAAGAATTTGTATTTTTGTGCTGTGTTTTTACAAGTTATGTTTTTGTGAAACTCTAGAAGGTGTTTTTCTCTACTGTTTTTACAGGAGTGTTTATAGCTGCCTCTAACAGTAAGAAATTATACTATGATTTTTAAAGCATCCAATTGAAAGTAAAGTATCCCAGAGATGAGATTTGTGTAAAACCTTCTTACCTTCTAAAATCATAACGATAATTTCTATGAATTTCTTGAAATCTTAAATCTTTCTCAATTCTTTTTTTTCCCCACTTTTATCCAGTTCTTGTTTCAGCTACATAATTTGCTATGTAGAGAGATGGAACCATGTTCAGCCACCTTCTTGCTGTTACACTAGTGGTGCCTGATGCATAATAGCTTAAATTAATTAAAAGTTAATTCTTGATCAGTTTTTTTGTGTCCATCTTGCCTTTGTATGTATAGAAACAGTTTTCATGGTAGTCTTTCCATGTGCCTATTTATCTGCACAATTGAAGATGCAACTTTCAGGTGGATCAGTTACTCTTGATGTGCATAGTGATGCAAATTCACAAGATCAGTCAGAAATGAAGTTGGACTGTAGAATTTCTTAATGCTGAATTTCCAGAAGCCACACTCATTTGCACTTTTGAGGCAGGACTCCTAAGTCATCTGTCCTTTTGCAAAATCCGGTTATATTTGACAAGTATGTTTTGGTAATTTTTGAGAGGTTGGCTGTTAACAACTTGAACTCCAAGTAGATTTTTAGACTTGGCAGTTAGCTGCAGGGCTTTGTTACCTACTGGAGATGGCTATCCTTGAGCTGTAGTGAAGGTTTGATAATTTAGCTCAAACTAGCTTCTGTTCCAGCTTCTATGAGAGTGCTGGCCTTTGCACTGAAGCAGTTGAGGTACTCTCTTTTTGATTGGTTTGGGTTTTCTTTGGGGGTTTTTTGCTTTTGGTTTTTTTGGTTGGTTGGTGGGTTTGGGGAGAGGAGGCTTTTTGTGTGGTTTTCTTTGGTTGTGTTTTTTTGTGTGTGTGTGTTTGGTTTTTTTTTTAAATATTCTTATTCTTAGTTGGGAGGGGTTGTTTGGTTTGGGGTTTTGTTTTAGTTGGTTTATTTATTTGTTTGGTTTTTTCCCTGCTGAGTCACTTCTGAGGGTAGTAACTTTCAGTGGAGGAAGCGAGTAACTGGGGGGAGGAGAGGCAATGCCTGTGTGTCACCAGGCATGTCTTCTCCCATGTCTGCATTCTGCAGCCTGATAGCACCACAATTTTAAGGGAATTTGATACATCTGTCCAAATTTTGACAATGGAAGGAAGCTTCTAGAACCACATCATACACTCTTCCTTGTCTTCAAAGATGAACTCCATTTAATTTTTGCTGAGCAAATGAAAAATTATCAAAAGAAGCAGAAAAATGGTTAAATAGTGCTTTTTTTAGAAAGCTAATCTGCATTTAATCTGAGGCTTTCTAGTCTGTTCATGACTAGAACAACTAACTTGTATTTGAAAAGCAAACTGTTCTTTGGACTGCTTATCTATGCTGGAGTGTAATGTCTTTACATCTAGAGCCTTCTCATTGAGGCCTGCAGTCAGACTGCCTGGCTTGTTAAAAGCAGAATGTGAGCTTGGGCTTTCTGTCTCAAGTCAGCTTTCTTCATTTAGTAAGTAAACTAGCCAATCTTGTCTGGTTTTATCTCCTTTTAGCCAGACTTGTTGTTAGTCCCACACTAGTCTTGTGTGTGAATTCTATTTGGAGCCTGCCTTACCCAGCCTGTGCTTGCTGGTGAGGTACTGCCCTTTAGTACTGAAATTCGATGCTCTTTGCTGGCTGCCCTGTAGTTTCAGAACAGTTTGCATCTGCAGTTTAGCACAGTGGCACTTTGTTGACAATTGTACTCTGTTCACAGGGAACCATTCTTTCTTCTTGCTGGAAGAATTGCTGCTGTGGATGTTTGTAAAGGTTTTGGGTTTTTTGTGAGCTTTTTTGTCAGAAGGAGAATATGAATTAGGTAACAGTTAGAAAAGGGAAGAACTCAAATTGTTTCAAGCTATGTCTTGTAGCATTCTGTAATCTAATTATACTGAAAGTCCCCACAGAATAAAGAGGAAGCTCAGTCCAGAGTCCTGGTGGAACAGTTTGGCATTAGTAAATCATTTATAAAGTTTTAAATGAAAGAAAACAGTGACTAAACGTCACAGAACTTGCGACTTACTGTGAACAGAACTTCCTGTTTTCAAATCTAAGGACAATGAGTTTATCCAGGTAAGGTCTAATTACAGAAACTTAGTATAACTTTTACAGAAACCTGTGAAAACTGGAAGTGTCTCATTAGACCTTTGTTTTTATAATCTTAATGTTTATTCTATGCTTTTTCCTCTGTGATTACCTTGAATTTGGTTTTGAGTCATTGTCTTGGATTGAGAGCATTTCAAACTAATTTTTCATTATGGATCAGTATAGGCCAGGTTTCTAAACATTTGAAGTGGATTTTTAAAGTATTTTCTTTAAAACTAGATTTTATGCATTCCATTAATAAATGGAAAATTATTTGAATTTTTTTAATAAAATCCCAAATGAAAATTTGTCTTGAAAAGGTTTTGTTTTCCTTTTTTTTTTTTTACCATTTAACTCTTTTCCAAACAAAATACTGTTGCAGAAACTGTGCTATATATCTTAATGAGTTAAATTACTTTTTCCCTTGCTTTCATAAACACCAGTAGGTGAAAGCTAGTATAAATAATTTCATTATAGCAGAGAGCTTAAATATTGTAGGTATTTCTGTACTATTAAATATTAGGTATTTCTGAGATTTCTGTACCATCTCAGATACAATATCCTTTGGGCTACAATTTGTTAAATATCTAAAACATAACCTGACCTTGCTGAAATGCTGGGGGATTAACTTTTGTACTAATTTTTGAGAAAGTATTCAACCACATGGCTCTGATTTTGGAATTCTTAGAAGTTAAAGCACAAATGAAACTCATGGTATAGTGAAACAGTTCCAAGTTAGTCTGAATTCTTGCTCTTAACTAACACATAATCCAAAAAATGTCCCCTGCTTATGGGGTTCGATATTAGTGGAGGATAAACAAAGCATTGCCTTCTTGCCAAGTCCATGGCCACAGCAAGCTGCTCACAGGGAGGTCTCCTCAGGAACTCGTCTGGCACTTGACACACCTTTGTATTTTGCTGCTGGGCAGCCCCAGAGGGTCTCACGTTTGAGCTCCTCACTTTAATGGCACGTTCATTAGCTCCACTAGTCACTTGCCTGTCCTGTCCTTGGGCTGCAGGTCTGGGATTTCTCCTGTGCCTTTATAAAACACTGTGCTGATTTGTGAATCAACATGTCAGCAAGGATCAGTTGTTTTAAAATTGCTTCAGAGGTTTTAATTGTTCTGTTTTTATTTATACTGTCAATTTTCAAAGAGTGTAATCAGGTAGACTTACAGGAGGTTAATTTTTTGTCTTTTAAATTACTATTTTTTAAGTTCTGTGACATTTGATGTTATCATTGAGGATATTTAACTTCCTTAGGTTTTCTTTGTCAGTCTGATGCATGACAGCTGTGGGTGACGTTTTTATCTGTTTCTTAAAATGCTGCAGTGTGAACTGTTCTATCTGCAGATTTACTTGAGATCTCAAGAGAAAGGGGTAACATTGAACGGTTCTTTTCACATTTAGTCCAAATGAACGCTGTGAAGCTGTTTCACTGAACCTCTGGGTGCGTTCTTTGTCAAGAAAACAATTAATAGTGCCATCCTTTGATTAGAAGAACTTGAATTTGTTTTTTGTGTGCTTTCTTTGCAGACTCTTGGAAACAGATAGCAAATCCTTACGATCAGTAAATGGGTCAAGAAGAAATAGTGGATCTTCCCTTGTATCTAGTTCATCAGCTTCTAGCAATCTCAGCCATCTTGAAGAAGACTCGTGGATCCTGTGGGGGCGGATTGTGAATGAATGGGAAGATGTACGGAAAAAGAAAGAAAAGCAAGTTAAGGTAGTTGGAAACTGGTTTTTTGATTTATTTTTAATGTGATATAAGTGATACTGTTTTATATTTGTGATGGGTTTATTCTTTTAAAATTAATATGCAATACAAACTTCCAATGGAGTCTTTCTATCCCTAAGCCTTGGTGCTTCCTTTGTGACCTTCCTATGTGCTGTCACCCAGCAAATGTCTCCTGCTGAAAACCAGATGCATTTACTGTATCTTGAATACTAAAGCTTTCAGTTTACCTCTGATGAGAGATTTCCATGAATGCAGGGATGATTAGCTTCATGTTTCCAAAAATGGAATTACTGAAGATCAGCAGAAGGGCATCTGATAGCTTGATGCTCTGATTCCGTACGTGTATGTTGTGCTGCCAGATACTGAGCAGCTCTCTTTAAAGCATTTTTAATAGGGGAGCTGATAAGTCTTCTCCAGGGCTACAATGAGTTTAGATTTTGTGCTTGCCAAGTATGTTGACCCCAGAGATGACCTTAGGCAGAAGAACACATAGTTTCTAAATTCTGGATGGATTGGATGAACTTTGTCCAGTGTGTCCAGTCTGGGTTAGTTGTGGTCATGTACAGAAGTGGGGTTCAATCACACTTTAAATTCAAACCAAAAAGCATTTAGTGCATTTGAACATATCCATGTTTCAGTGGCAGCAAGCAGAACAGCGTGGGATTTTTTTGTTAGCAGGCAAGTCTGTTCTGCTTTGGTTCTTTATTGGCTGTAGTCTGCAGTTTTATGTGCAGAATACAAATGTGTCAGGGTCTTTTGAACAGTTTGAAATGTGTGTCTATGAATAGGTTGTGGGAAGGCAGAACAATGGGCTAAAGTAAAGTATCTTTTGTATGGAGCAGTTGTGAAGAGAACATGACTTGAGAGAGGAAACAAGGGAAGAAAATGAACTAAAGATTTCCTGCTTGCATAGGGAAAGCAGTTTCTGGAGAGGTGTTCCAAAAGGCCATGAAAAGAAGGCCACAGGAATCTGGCAAGAGAAAGTAAAAGTGAGGTGGTAATAAGATCTGTCAGTTAGAATTTGTTCGAACATTTTCAAGTGTCACAAGTGTCACTTGTTTTTACAGCTGCCCAAGTACAATTTGAGGAGTATTTGACTAACTTTCAGGGAATATGTAATTATATTGCTGACTAATATAGTAAAAACTAGCCATGGTTTCATTTGCTGTTAAATAATGCTCAGTATTTTTTTGTTGAATGTGAACCTTATCTGTGAGTCTGTATTTATGATGGAATATCAGAACATCCACATCTATTCCCTGATTGTGCCACTAGGTAAATAGGTAGCAGCATAGGTATCTTTTTGTCCTGGCTGTAAAACCTGGTCTTTGGTTGTCAGAAATCTGGTAAGTTTTTACGTTTTAGGCGTAAGTGTCTATACCTCCCTCCAAAGATGATGTGTTCCATCCTTTACATCTCTCAATTCACTTCAGAACTTGCTTCTTGTTTATGGAGCACTTCTGAAGGATGACTCAAGTCCTGCTGTTCAGTTCACATGGCATGGCCAGTAGATGTGTTTCCTGCTGTTCCTTTTAGGAAAGTTGGAGGGGTTAACTCTATTATTCTGTCAAGGAGGTACATTAACGAGGCATTAGCCAGAAGTTTCTTGCTTTATTAGTGCTCTTGAGGCTTTAGATGGCTGATGTACAGTACAGTTGTGTTGTTGGCAAAGGATAGGTAGATACAGTTGTGTAAAGCTGATGTGTTAGGGTTCTTGTCTTGGATTGGCATTCTTTTAGGAAAAACACCTTGGTGTTATGTTGTAGACAGGAGAAATAGTTGGAGTGGCATTACTATGGTGGTTCTGAAGAAGGATGGATTGAGAGCTTAGGATGTTAACAAATGGAGATCAGTGATGCAAAACTTCTGCAGCAGAGTTTGAGCTCAAGAAAAACAAAACTTAAAAGGAAGAGTCTGTTTGAAAGTTATCAGTGTTGCATGAATTAATTGTAACGTTGGAGAAGTAGGAGAAAAATGTGAAACAAACAGGAAGAAGAGGAAGCTTTGCAGAATAGGAGGTTACTCTAGCTTCAGAATAAATAATAATGAAAGAAGTTAGCCTTTAGGAGACTGAATATTTGATAAGAATTCTTAAAGTAAAAAAGTTATTAAGGTACAAAAAGGAAATAGTCTTGAAGAGACAATTTTCTAGGTCAGACTGATTCTAGGTGCAGAGCATACCACCAAGAGTCTGTTAAATTCCTGAGTAATGCTTCTTTTTCAGTTTTCAGATCAAGCAGCAAGACTTCTTGTCCTTGTGATTTCTTAAAGGACGAGTAACAGGTTCTTAGCTGTACTCATCTGGGCATGTTTGAATTGTATAATACCTAGCAGAATTTTTTTCAAAAGCTAAAGTAATTTTAGTTAATTCAGTAGGTGTAAACTTAATGTTTTCTTGGTGCAGTGTCTGAAACTGCATTTAAATGCTTTCTTAAAAGATAACTTGGAAATCCTGGCACACCAGAGAAATTGGACATAAGTTGTCAAGTTTGCTAAATGATAGCTGTACTGTGCAAATTTTTTGTTGCAGTTGACTGTGCTACGGTTAATTCTACTTTTTGTCATTTGCCTATCTTGGAAGTAATTTTTAGTCATGATTTCTTAGGTCTCAGTGACTGCAAATATTATTAAAGGTGTTATCTCCAGTAATCTTTCATGAAATATAGACATCATTGTATTAAGTTCTGTTTAATGGAAGTTCTTGTATAAAATTATTTGAATATTCTGTTTTTCACATAGTTTGCCATGGATAAGGAACTATTTTCAGTAGCTAATTTAGACACTAAAAATGATTCAGAGACTGCTTACTTTTGTGAACTTATCCTACTAAATTTGACGTTATAAACTGTATGAGGAGTTTTTGCCATGATGTAAAGGTTTTTTTGAAATTGTGAGGAATTTGATTTCAAGCTGTTTTTTCTCTAGGTTTATTTTTTGTAATATTTTCAGGAAATATGAATTGTCTTTTTGTGCCTTAGGAGCTGGTTCGAAAAGGGATACCTCATCACTTCAGAGCAATTGTTTGGCAACTTTTATGCAGTGCTCAAAGCATGCCAATTAAGGATCAGTATTCAGAGCTTTTAAAAATGACATCTCCTTGTGAAAAATTAATAAGAAGGGACATTGCTAGAACATACCCTGAGCATGATTTTTTCAAAGAAAAAGATAGCCTTGGGCAGGAGGTCTTGTTCAACGTAATGAAGGTGAGTTGGTATTTCAGCCCTTGAGAATGTATTAGCAAGAGCATGCACCAGCTTGGATTGCCTTGTATATAGAGAGCTTGCACCAGTTTCATGTGTTATGAGTTTTTTTTAAACCATAGACACTGGGTTAGTTCAACAAATCCCATTTTAGTTCCAATGGCATTCCTATAAGTTTTTTTATATCTCACAAGGTAAAACCAAGTTGGCATTAAAACAAAGCCACATGCTGACTGCTGATTGTGCAATGGAATGAAGTGTGCCATAAATTAAAGTGAACAGTGTTGCCCGAGACAAGAACATTGGCAATCAGAGCTAGTATTCAGTGTGCAGGTATTTCTGAAGTGCACATGGCAGGCACAAGCTAATGTGCAGTTGTTCCAGTGCCCAAACATAAAATGAAAATGCCAATGTAGCATTGTTTGCATCACTTACTCTTCACTAGAGGTTAAACTTTGAAGGTCAGACTTTTCCACAGAACATGGTTTCAATGGAGAAATGGCAGGTTTCCAAACCATAGTAGTTTCCATAACTCTAAAACAAAGATGCCACCTGCATGGAGATCACCACATTTCATCCATCTGTAAATAAAACTGCAGCACATATTATTTCTGAAGACAACTTGTTTCATTGTCTAGTCTGTATCCTATAAAAGTAGTACTTTGTGAGATTTGTATGCCAGTGGTCTCTTTTATCTTCTACCAAATTCCTGTAGTTGAAAACTGCCTGTATTTTTGATAGGTATGCCTTAGTTTAGCTTTGTATGTATATGCTCAGAGAGCAGAGTTTGTGGCAGCAGGTAGAAACTAGAATGTCTGACTAAAATTTCTGGATAGGATGTCTGCCCTTGTTGGATTTGGGGAGAGGAAGAATAAGTTATTAACAAGATAGCAGGGATAAGCCATGATTACTTTTTATTGATAATGAGGTTTTAATTGCTGATAGTTTTAACTTTATTTTCCAGGCTTACTCTTTGGTGGATCGTGAGGTTGGATACTGTCAAGGAAGCGCTTTTATAGTTGGGTTACTGCTTATGCAGGTAAAATATTTAAAAATATGTGAACCTTTTAAATCCATGCTAGAATGCATAATATATTGTGGTGGTTTATTGGGAATTCTTGCAATGCTTTTCCTTCATAATTTTGTTACATTGGAGCTGTCAAGGGCAGCTGTTTAGTCTGGAAATAAAATGAGATTTACTTTGTGTCATTCTATTTGCCAAGATACTTGTATTGGAGTGGGAGAATGTATTTGTTTTTCAGAGCTAAGGTAGGATTGCAGGCTTGCGAGCTATTTTGGTGAGTAATATTTCAAAAATAAATGAACTTGTTATTTCTCTTCTATTACATGGAATCTCCTCAGAGTTCAAATGAAACTACACAGTTGATTATCTTAAAGCTTCCTTTGTATTATTGGTTTTTGATTTATGACAAAGTATGCTATATAGTAAGAAAGTTACAGACCTCCATTTCAGTTGAGAAATTATTTGCTAGAATTTAATATATACAAAAGTTAATTGGAATAATTGGCTGTAAATCCCTTAAACAAAACAAAAACCTCAAAACAAACAAACCAACAACCAAGAAAAAAGCTCTGCTATGTGCACATGCACACAGACACAAAACCCCAACCCTAAATCCTCCCAGGCATTTACTCTGATATATCATTATGTTTGTCCAGAGTTTTTACTGTGCTTTTTTGTTTTTGATATAGATGCCAGAAGAAGAGGCATTCTGTGTGTTTGTTAAATTAATGCAAGATTACAGACTACGAGAACTCTTTAAACCAAGCATGGCTGAACTGGGCCTTTGTATGTACCAGTTTGAATGCATGATACAGGTACATACAAAATTATCAAACTTGCTCTTCAGTAACTATTAATAAGAAACTTGGGAATTACAGCTCAAGAGCAGGCATGTCTGTTGGCTAACAGGCTGCACTCTTGACAATAGCTAGTTTCAGAACTTCACAAGTAAATGCATGTGGCTGTGAGCAATTTTTTTTAACCTTTGGCAGGCAGTGACTGGCTTTAAACACTGAAGCATGAGGATTTGTATTGCTGCAGTTTAAGCAGATGGATGTTTAATTCTGTTTGGATTGAAGACTCTGAAAATCAAAGTCTTCATAGTTAAGTTATAGTATCTTAAAAGATGAAGATTGGGAGATACCCTCTTATCTAGGATTGAAATTGTTTTCAGATTTGGAATGCAGGTTCTTCCTGGTGAGGCTGATGGAGCAAAAGAGGTTTCTGTTTGGTGATCTGGTTTCTAACATAGTGGTCAAGGGTGAGAGATCACATAGCCTTAGAGTTTTCAGCTCTTTTTAGTAGCCCATTCTAGTTATTACTCAGGGATTTACAAGCCTGACTTCCCCTTAGGATCAGGAAGTGTTTTTGTTATCTGCTTTGCAGGGTAGACATGCATGGTTCTTGATAATGATGAGTTATGTCTTTCCTAGTCCTGTTGCTAGTACCGACAGCTCCTCTATGTACTATGTGTCAATTACTTTCTTGTATTCAAAATTTGTCAAAAACACATCTGCACTAAAACTACAAGCAGAAGCTTAACATACTTGTGTATTTTATTCCTCTTCTTTTCCAGGAACATCTTCCAGAGCTTTATGTGCACTTTCAGTCTCAAAGTTTTCACACTTCTATGTATGCATCATCATGGTTTTTAACTATATTCCTTACAACTTTTCCACTACCAATTGCAACGAGAATATTTGATATCTTTATGTCTGAGGTAACTACTAAATGTAGTCATATGTTATATTTCAAGAGTAGCTGTTGAAAGCAGTTATTTAGGTAGTGGTATAAATCCCATCATGATGGACAAATCTCAGTCTTGCTTTTTATTTCTTATGCTGATCAGATTATTTTAAGGGAAGGTGTCTGTGTGTGCAGTTTGTCCAGGAAGAGTAGCCAAGTCACTGAATGTTGATATTGTGTGTAGCTTTGTGCTCTAAGTTGAAGTGGTCCCAAATACGTTTTTTCTGGATGCAGTTCATTAGCATTGCATGCAGCAGGGATATCCATTCCTCAGTATTATGGTGAGTTTGCAGTGGAAACTAATGCTGCTTTCAGGCCAAAGTTGGAGTTCATGGTGGATATGCAAGCCAAGAAGGGGGAGTGTTAGTTCTTTTTATTGTTCACATGATGTTAGGTGCCAAAGGAATTTTTGGGAAAGAAATCTGTGTCATTATCACAAGGACACCTATGCTGTGTTTAGGATTAGAACTTTGCACAATTGTAACTAATAACAAATCATAGTTTATGCTTGCCCTGCAGTCAGCTTTGAGAAAGCAGTAAGTCAAAGGTGGATCCTTTCACCTTGTCCCCAGGAAAGTCGAAGATGGGGTATATAGTGAGACTTTCCTTTTTTTTCCCAGTAGTTTAACTGCGTTGTACTGTGTCTGAAATGAAAATGGCTTTTGTGACAAGTACTGGGGATGTTTCTACTAGATATACTTGAAATGGTAGATAGAGCTGACCTAGAGGATTCCTGTCACTCGAGATTTTGCCTCATCACTAACTTCTCTGAGGGAGATGTCTGGCATCAGGACAAATAGCCAGCTTGCTTGTCCTTGGAATAAAAAAAGAAACGCAGAAGCAATTTGGTGAGAGATTTTTTCAGTAGCCCTTTTACTTGTGCTTAGGTGGGTGAGATTTCCAATGTTAGTAAATAGTAGAAAAGCTCTGTGCTGTTGACAATGGCATGAATAATTGTTGAATATTTTTTGACTTCTCTTTTCAGGGTTTAGAGATAGTATTTAGAGTAGGTTTAGCATTACTTCAGATGAACCAGGCAGAATTACTGCAACTTGACATGGAAGGAATGTTACAGGTAAGCTATGATTATTATAATTTTAAGAGATATCTGAAATGTGCAGTGTGTGTATTTCCTTGCAGCTGTTAATTATGTGTAATCTTGTGCTCTGATTGCTTTTAGCACTTTCAAAAGGTCATTCCACATCAGTTTGACAGTGGTCCAGACAAATTAATCCAAGCATCTTACCAAGTCAAATACAATGCAAAAAAGATGAAAAAGTAGGTATTACATTTTGAGAACATACATTATACTGTTGCTGAGTTACTGTTTGTTTACCCTTAAGAATTGCTATTCAGCGTTTCATTTTGAATTTTTCATCTTTACATTTTTAGGGGATTTTATACTATATAAACAGTTAAAACTGCAGTTCTGTCTGCAAAAAAATTATTCTAAAGTAGTATTTGCTATTTTTCTTAAATATAATAAAGCTACAGCTCATTTACAAAAATAACTAAAAAAGCATTTGAAGAAAACTGTGAGTTATGGGGAATTACAGCCCTTCTGTAAAAAGGAACTGAATAGGAAGGTTGGGTAGGGGGTGGTTTTCTCCTCTGGTGAGAGGGGAGATTGTTTTTGTTTTGTTCAGGGTAAAGGAGGTGAAACTTTTGTCATCTGGCCTAAATTCTGAAGATTTTAGTTCTCAGAAACTGGAAGAATAATCATGATACTAAAGAGTGCATTTATAATCAAAATTAGTGCTGTTGAAAATATAAATTGAGAGAACTTTGTAGTAACATTGACAACAGTAAAACAACTTTCATGTGGGGTTTGAAGTCTTGAGAATACCACTTGTTGTTGTTAAGGTTATTTGCATGTCTCTTCTGCCTTTGGTAAATTCTGCTTTGATTAGAAAGCTGCAGATAGTGTGGCTTGCCAGGGTTGAGTTTGTTGGGCACTCATTGGTTGTAAAGTATCCTGTGTTCATTGTTGCACTGCTGGCTGTGTCCAGGGTCTTCCAAACTGAATTTGTCAATCTTTTTCTTTTATTTTTCTGTCAGCAGCCTATGATCAGTAGAATGAGCAGTCTTCTCTAAAAAAGGAGTAACAACAAAGCTTTCAGGAAAAATATTTTCTTTGCAAACCAGTCCAAGTGTATGCAGTTGAAAATCTACCATTCCAAGTCTGAACTTCCTGATCTGCTTTCTGTAGAGGCATTGTTATCTCAGCTTGTGGGTTTTTCTTGCTGCCTTTTTCATTTGATTTGCTGGGGAAAGGCTAAAATTGGTTTATCTTTAAGGTATTTTTCTCAGATTTCTTTACATCTTTGTCTTTCAGGCTTTCCAAGCTCTGATTTCTTTTGGCTGAATCTGTTGAATTGATGACTGTATTGCATAAAGGGGTTATTGCAGAGTAGCTCCAAATTGCTGCCACTGTAATGTATCCAGGCAAGCTCCTGCACTTCATAATGCTGGTTCAGTGTGTTCATATCTACTGAAATCATATCTACTGTGTTAAATTTAAGGTCCAGTCTAAGCATTTACAGGAGTGCATTTGAGAGGAAATATCAATAATCTGTATCTCTGTTCTACTGTTATTTGTTAGGTATTACACCAACAAGTAAATTATCCACAATGTTTCTGATCATAATTTACTATTTCTAATTTTTAGGCTAGAAAAAGAGTACACTACAATAAAGACAAAAGAAATGGAAGAACAAGTTGAAATTAAAGTAAGGAGCCCTCAACAAATTTATTTATGAATAAGTTTAATTCCTAGATGGGGGGATTGCATGTTTGATCTCTGCATGTAGCAGGACATAATCAAGACCCCCAAATTTTTTCAGCATTTGTATTTGGGATGTCTGTTCCCAAAGGACACTTACAGTGAAATTATTGAGACTTTGGGTGGACATTAAAAAAAAATCTATGGGGACTTTCTGTACTTATTTTTTTAGTATTTCCTGCTGACAGAAGCTTAATAATAGATGCCCTCATTTGTCAGAGGTTCCAAATATGCTGGTTTAAATGTAGGTGCTGCACACAGGAGGTTTGTATGATAGACTTGTTAAGATAGACTTCATGGAGTCCACTTGACTGGTTTGTCTTTGATTTTAAGGTCCTGATTTTTCTTATGCATTGGACCCAAATTGTGGCATCTTCTCTCTGCAGTCACTTTTTCTTTTGGAGCTTTTGCAGTTAATACAAACTGGGGGGGAAAAGCCAAGCTGCCAGTGGAGTTTATTTTTCCCTTTTTACTAACTGACCTACTTCCTGTATGTACCTAATCACTGCATCTTTTTGCTTTTGTGACATAAATAGTCTTTTGATGCTTTTTTTCCTATTTTGCTTTTTTTTCCACAGCATGTTGTTTGATTTGGATTTTCTTCCTTGTGGTTTTAGCCAGTTCTGTGAGAAAAGACAGTGGGAGAAATGCTGTGCAAGTGTATTATATACAAGTTTGGTGAGGGAGTTAGGTACAGCCTTCCTTCTTCCTGTCCACTGCTTGTCATTTTGCCTTTCAATGTCAGTTTTTGAGGCATCAATTCTTCAGAAAAATGACTGTGAGATGCACCTGGGAGCACAAAGGTATTAGGAGCCTTTTCAGGCAGTTGATTGCATCAGGCAGTGAGGCAGTTAGCAGCAGCAATACCTGCTGTAACAGCAGCTGAAATCAGATTTGCAGGGCTCAAATGACAGCTCTCTGCAGAACAGAGTAAAACCATGTGAAAGACAACTGTAACTTTAGATTCTAGTATATTAACTCTTTTCAAATCTTTCTTGCTTCTTGCCACCATTCCCCCCCCAAAAAAGGAGAAAGCAAAAACCCTTCCCAAAACAAAAAGCATGAAGCCCACCCCAAGAAAAAGCAACCAAAAATTTTTGCAAAAAACTCCCAACCAAACAACGCAGAGCTACCTGTTTCTAGGCCCTACTTTGGGACATATGTAAATAATTTCTGACTTAGCAGAGCTTCTTAGCAGAAGAGACTATTTTAGGGGAGATAGAACTGTATTTTGAGTTTGCCTTTTAGCCTGGCAGAGTAAAGCATTTGCTGAACTGATATCTAATCCCCTCTTCTGAGTGGTATGGATCTTTTGTGTCTGAATGCTGACTGCTAAAATTTTACTGCCAAAATTAAAGGAAGTGCACTTGTAAAATATAGGGTTCAGCACAATTCTTGCTGACTTCTGGGATGTTTGAGGAAATTCTCAGTATAGCCATACTATAGATTTATAGATTAATATAAATTCTTATGAAAGAAACCTTGTAGCTGCCTCATTAGGCTGTCCTGCTGCAGGGAGTGCACTGTCATGTCCCTTAACCATGAAGACTTTGATCCTGTTTATGAAGGGGAGGCTGTCCAATCTGGTGTGGGTTAAGCCCCATGGTTCCCCTGCAGACACAGCTTTCAGCAAATGCAACATAAAAGCTTTCACATAACATGAGATGTGTTCTTGTTGTTGCTGTACCAAGCTGTTTAAACTCATATTTCGAGCTAGTGCATAATATGAAAGGATGTTAAGAAGTTCAGAAATTATTTTTGTAATTATACTGATTTTCATGGATGTGATGAGATAAAAGTATTGGTAGTTTGCTTTCCTTTTGACTTTCAATTCATAACTTGAGAAATGGATTTGTGAACTGTTTACCTTCCAGAGGTTACGAACTGAAAATAGACTCCTGAAACAGCGCATTGAAACACTAGAAAAAGTAAGTATGCTGGGGATTAGATTTAATCTCTGTTAATTTAGACTTTATTGATGGCAACTTCATTATATGAAATGGGAATCTCAGAATTATAGTTTACTGTTTTCCTGATAATCTCTGGTGTTTACTAGCAGTGCTTAGCCAAATAGCATGGCTATCACTGAGCAATTAAGGTCAGTGCTTTAAATATGTAAGGTTATGTCTGCTTCTTAGTGATTATAAAATCAAACATTTTAACATACTCAGCTTGTGTTGTACTGTTTTCTTTCTGAATTAGAAGCATATGTTCAAAGTCCAGAAGACTCCATGAAATAGTGGACTGGTTGTTTGGAAAAAGGTCATTGTGAGAGAATCCTCAGTTTTGAAAATCTGAAGTTGCTTGGTGTTTTTATGTAGGAGCAAAATGACAGACCTACCAATGACCAGAGGGATGTTGCAGCACTCATACTGAGAACAGGAACACTGCCATTCATTCCTTCTTTGTGGTTTTGAGGTTTTGTGGCAGGTCTGGGTACCTGGTGGGGAAATATCCAAAGACTTATTTCTCTTATATTTAGTCTGGAGTAGAGTTTTGTTAAGTTTTTTTGTAACTGACTGAAACTTCAATAGTAGGCATGAGGAGTGCTATGGATATGTGTCCAACTGTTCTCCAGTGGCCTCTGCTGTATCCTGGTATCACACTTGTGTGGCAGATTGCATCTGAGCTGCTCTGCTCAGGAATGAGAGCATTCCTGCTTTTCTTATGCCAACAAGGACCATCTTTGAACAAATGGGATTGAATGCTCTTATGAGTTGCAAACAGTTGTTCATGTTTCACAGGGAAGAAAATGGTCATGTTTCAATTGAGAGTGACATAATTGAAAGATGTCACACTAAGGATGTTATACCCCAATGCAATTTCTGGAAAAGAAGTTGGTCTATGTCAAATTCTAATTGACTGGTTTCAGAATTTAGTTTGGAAAAGATGCATAATGATGGCACATTGTGAAAGTTGTGACCAACAATAAATTTGATGAACATTTTTGTTTCTAGCATTGGAGATTTATGAAATGGATGGAAAAGAGTAGGCTCTCTTTAAGAAGGTTGAAGCTGTAGTGAATCATTTCAATGACCTTGGTAAATATGTAATAGTTAATACCCTTGTTTTATACTTAACTTGTAGAGGTTTGAAATCTTTTCTTTTTTTAATTTTAAAGTCCAGGATGAACTGCTGCACGCTAGTGCTTTTGCAAATTCTGTGCTTAGAATTTCAGAATTCACCTTCAGATTATCCCAATCTGATTGGTATCAAAACAATTCAGAACTGGAAAATATTATTTATTAACAAGAATTCCTGAAGATTGTTATCATCGCAGCATTTGAAAAACATCATAAAGAGTGAAAAATACATTAAATTCTTCTGTTGGAAACTTACTTTAAAAATATTTTTCCCATCTGATTTAGTTGGGATTTCCTTAGTGTACCTTAACTTCTAAGAAATAGCTTTTATCTAATAGTTTGAACTTCAATTTTAATCAAAGCTTCAAAGACAAAGAAGGTCTGTGAATAGATGTATTTCTCTGTTGTAGAATGTTCAAAAAAATTGATTGGTTTCAGGGATGATAAAGTAGAAATAAATGTAACTGCAGGGCAGTAGGGCTTGTCAGTGTGCAAAAATGAGTATTTTTTTTGCAAAAGTTTGGCAAGAAAAGAGAATCTATGAACTGCTGAATGAGTCAGTGCAAGAGTTCAGTAAAATAGAACATTAGCTGTCAGTTGACATTTCCTACTTGTCTGTCAGTTTGCACTGTTTAACTGTCCTGCTTCATCTTAGTGGAAACTGTAGTTCTGCATGAGTGCCTTGGTGCTTAGTGGAGTTCCCTCTGTGCTCAAATTATGCCTTTGTTTCATGTTGTGGGGGGACTGTAGGTGGTGTCCTGCATCTGTCTGTTTGATCCTATCAGATTATGCTTTGGTAACTTGCATTAATTCAGGAGCAAGCCACTCAAATAAAAACAACCAGTCTCCTGTAGGTGAATTTTAAGTGTTACAGAAATCTGGCTTTGAAACCTTTTTGTATCACAGCTGGACTGTGTTAAATCTGTTGCAGAAAAGGCTGCTTCCTGAGATCTTTGGACTGAGTTGCCTTCATTTATATGAAGAGTTGTTAATTTTGCAATAAGAGTTTGCACAAAAAATGGGTAGAATTTGGGCATTTTCTTTCTATCAACTCTTGGTCTTTTTTGACACTATTATCAGCCCCTTGTGTTTTGGTTTCCCTTTTCCTCATTCCTGTCTGAATTTTTCCTTTGTAGGAAAGTGCTTCCTTGGCAGATAGATTGATACAGGTATAGTCTTTTAGTCTTTTACTGTATGACTCTCTTCCTACTCATAAAAAAACCCAACTGCTTTAATGCATGCATGTTTGCATGCTGTATTCTATCCCTGCTTTGCTGATTTGGAATAAATACAGAGCTAATACATCTTGCTAGAAACTTGTTTAATTTTGTTTACTAAAAATATATAAACCCAATACCTGCACGTTATAGTAATTTTCCTAACCTATTGTAATTTTTTGTACAAATTCCTGTGGCAAATGGATTCTATGACACTGTATTAACAATGAAATTGAATATTGTGAGCCTAAATCTGTGCATGTACAACTGAGTAATAATGCATGAAAGGAATTTTATTGAATGCAAGTACAAAACTGTTCTTGCTAAATGGATGCTGAACTTTGTAATAAAGTACTAAAGCAGCTGTTTAGTACTACTTGTCCTAAAATTTCTACCAATTGTACTCTGTGCTATTTGCAAAACCAATCTGATGAAATAAGCAGCTAAGCATCACAAAGGCAGTTTTCCTTGGATTTGTCATCAAGTGCTTAAAAAAAATAAATTATGTCCTAAGGGACAAGTGACAAGGGCCCAGGAGGCTGAGGAAAACTACCTCATAAAACGGGAGCTGGCCACCATCAAACAGCAGAGTGATGAGGCCAATACTAAACTGGAGCAAGCTGAGAATACCATCAGGGAGCTCCAGCAACAGCAGCAATGGGTAAGGAGCCTGGCAGCACATCATCTCATTTTTTCCCCTCACATGTGTTTATTTTTCCTCATCATTATATGACATGGTCTCTGTGCTGTCTTTGTAAACCCCTGTTCACTGTGATTTGCATTCTTAAAAGGACACAAATTGGATTAAATGAAATTTTGCTCTGTTCTACTGATAGATGAGATTCATAACCCTGGATAGGTGTAAGTTGAGTTAATTAAAAAAACTAAACACATACCCACAATGAAACACACCAAGCAAAAAACCCTACAAACCAACTCCAAACCCTTCCACTACAAAAGAAATACTAACAAAAACCGCACATACAACCTCTGATAGCTCTTAAATGCTGAGAATCTAGTCATTGCAAGTTGTGTCACTCTGAGTACTCAGATTTGAGGATTGATTCACAGTGCCCTTACCTAGTGTATAATTTAAGTCCATTTCTTTCATGTTAATGCTTCTTCTGTGTACTCATATTTGTTTTTTTTCTGAGTATGCTAAAATTTACTGCTTGCTGAGGTAGAAGAGTATTATCCCTGATTTTGCCACTACAAAACTTGATTAAAAAGTGTGAGTTTATGGGCATATGGAGCCGGAAAATAAATTTTAGTAACCTTTTGTAGTGCTGTATTTGTGTGCACTCTGTGTTCTAGTTAGTAAAATGTTCAGGACTTCTGACTGTTGCTGTAACATGGAAGTTACTTTCCCTAAGATACTTAAAATGCTCAGTATCTTCTCTTTGGTGGGACAGGGGGAAGCATTTTAGCATTTTCACTTGCTGAATAAACTGTGCGCTACTAGTGTTGATGTGAATGTCTTCATATTGTTTTAAGTAAGTGGTATCCAAGTACTTGTCTGGAATCTTGGGAATTTCAGGTGTATGGAATATGACTAACTAGAACTAAATATATTGCAGCTCCTTACTAGGTTTCTTTTTATCTTTCTTTTAATCTTTCAAGTGAAATACAATGAGAAGTGTTTATAGACTTTTGCATATCCAGCTGTTTTATGCAGCTGTATTATCTGATTACAACAGTACACATGCCTTTGGAATGTATTTTTTAGAGGCATACATGTTAATGACATGTATGCAATGAAAAGTTATTAGAAGAAGACTAAGATACTGTATTTATTTGTTAATTGTTGGGAATATGACTTTTAAAGCTACTGCCTTTATACTGAGGACCTTACTGAGTACCAATGATGGGGTGGCTTGACAGGTTGCCTGGGTATGGGAACTGATCCTGAGCAAACCTTAGATAACTGTGGATTCCAAATTTGGCTTGGTTGGAGCTGTGGGTGCAGACAGCTGGATAAGTACTGCAGGAGTGGAGAGTAAATGAAATTATGAGCACACTTCCTTCTTTCCATGCTTGCAGCATGTTTTCCTCCACTTAAACGTGAACATGGTTGTAGGAAATTGTCTGTGTGTGTGGAACTGAGACTATAAGTCCGTATTGTTATAGACAGATTTGTGCCTAATAATAACAGTAATAATAATTGTGCTGGCTTATTTTGAAGTGCAAGGAATAGCACTGTGGCTTTGAGACCCATCAGAATTAGACAATGTGGTGAAAGAGTTAAAATGGTTTAAGTGAGGAGCGTTTGCGAGCTCCTACTGCGTCAGTAGGACGCGTAATGAAACAGGATTTTAACTGTTTCCAAGCATGGAAGTGGGAGCAGCAAGTGTAAGCGGCTGTGTGCGTCTCGGGCGCCACCTGGTGGGAATGCGTGGATTTATTTGGGATTTTGGCATTTTACTGTAAACGCTGGTTAATTTTTTTGCCACTTGCTAGTGCCAGTAGTTTTGTTCTTGGCAATACTCCTTTTCGGTATTGCCTTGTGAGTATCTGCTTTAATGTTTTCTTCTCTAATTATTTCAGCTTTGTTTATTGTTAGCAAAAATGATTGCACTGTAAAGCTTTAAATCACTGCATAGTTTCTGTGCTTGTTTAAAGATACAGCATCTATTGTATATATTTTATCATCTACATATTTTTCAGTCTTGAATTGTCTGTTTCAGCATGGTAAAAAAGCTATAGTGTTTGGATATGAATCTCTGAATAGGAATGGAAGGAAAGAACTGCCTAAAGGTACTTGCAACAACCTCTTCTGAACAGCACTGTGGGATTAAAAAAACCCATTGTTTTGTAGGTGGCAAAAAATTATCAAAACAATGGTATTTCTAGGAAGGTTAACATAGCCTTTGTTAAAAGGTTATTAATTTGTCTTTGAGTATTGTCAAGGGTTTATGCCCTCTGTTCTGTGAGACTGGATAGCATAGGTTGGATGGCTTAAGGATAAGTCTTGAAAATATTTACTGGATTTGTGTCTGAAGAAATTCTCCCCTGCAGCACTTCTGAATACAGAGGTGGGTAGAGGAGTATTCTTCTGATTGAAGCCCAACACCAGAAGCCCAGATTACATACAAGTTCATTTTTTGTGCTGAATAGTTGTGCTGTGCTCAACTATTTATAGTGAGTTTTTAGTTGAACCAGAAAGACTTCATTATGAAGTTTGGAGTCTGCTTAAAGAAGTAATAATTATACTAACGAATGATGCTGAACCTCTCTTTGGCTTGTCTGGTCTTTAAATGTGGAAGCTTGCCAAAGCCATGGTGTGTTGCCAAGTGATTAAGAGGGAGGTGGCTTCTTCCTTATACTGCTGGTAAATCGAGGACTGCATAGAGGAAGTTTTGCCTGACTTGAACAAGATACAGTTTTCTTTTGAGGCATGCTAAGAGCAATGGTCTTTGAGGAGTTAGTTAGTTAGCCTGTTGTAACTTACTCCTGATAATGATGTTCTGAAGGTTTTATTCTCTGTTCTTTTCCCTCTTGTGTTTCTAAATGAAAGGGGTAGCTTCTTGCTGGATGTAAACACCTCCAGAATGCAAATCTTGTCTTTCCTTGTGACACTGTAATTGTCTATGATTACCCAGTTCATCAGTCTGAATGCTTTAAAATTGAATCTGATAAACTGGAGGCTAATCAAGCTAAAATTAGTTCGCATCTTATTTTTAAATAGGCTCTTCAGCTATATTATGTGAAGATAGAATTTTAATTGACTAAGCATTCAGATGGAAGCATATGCATTTTGCAAGGTAATTTATAGTGATGTATTTGGTTATTGTTACAGCAACTTCATAATGCATAGTTTCTTTTCAGGAACTCATGCTAAAATGACTGATAATAATTAAGAACATAGTAAGTGACCTTGGGAATATATGCTTGTAAATGAGTGTTGCAACTTTATGAAAGACTTGACTTTATTTTACAGTATACTTTCCTAATACTGTGTTCTGATTTGCAACAAAAAGGCAGAAAATAAGAATACTGTATTTAGGGAAGTACTACAGTTAGTGCTCAAAAGTATAAACAAACTTAGCTGGGAGCTGCTGAGTCATCTGTTAAGTGCTCTTCAGTATAGTGTACTGGAGAAACATTGTGTAATGACATCTGTCATCAGCCAAAATAGTATTTGGTATGGTTATGTTTAAGAAAAGTTGGGTGGAAATCAGTCTAGTTGTGTGAAGCCCAGCAAGGACTTGTTTCTTTTAGAATTAAATGGCTGTGGAACTACAGTTTTAGTCCTTTATGTTACTTGTGTCTCTTCAACATAGGCAAGAAAGTCTTACTGTGGTTAAAATATTTGGTGCCTGAAAGTCTGTATTTGCATTTTGGCTTTTGTCAGAAATTCTAGGGCTTAAGGCAAATATATAAAAGCAGATATTTTTCCTGCAGTCAATTTAAAAGTAGTTTTCAAATGTTGTTTTAAATATAAACTTGTGTTACTTTTATATACTAAATTATTGAAAATGTGCTTTGTTTTACTAAGTAACAAAATGCACAACTTCTGATTTGTGAATCTTGATTTCTTCAGTCTGTTTTGATCTTGGCTGTATATCAAGACTTGACTCAGAGTTTGTTGTGGCTAAGTAAATAAGTGCTGTTAACGTATTCTTTAGGCAGGCAAAATCTTAAGACAGATTTAAAGAAGTCATGGCTCGTGCTTGAAACTGGATTAATAACGTTTCTTACATTCTCTATTACTAATTATTTGATAAACATCGATTAGATTTTTATAGAATACACTTACATTATTGCAAAATCAGCATGTATTCAGTTCTTCAAATCTGCTGTGTTCTCTCAATGTCCTGGAGAACACTGCATTTGCTCTCATTCCATGTATCGCAGACAGAAACCTGGAACATAAAATGTAAGGTCCATGTAAGTTGCTGTGTGTATTGTGGGATGAACCTGTACAAAGAGCCAGGGAATAAAAAAGAGTGGTTGCTTTTTCTCTGCCTCTGCATGGTGTTACATGTGGTACTTCTGTTGCTACATGATGTGAAGCACCTGTAGAAATGAATCAGCATTGTCCACCATCCTCCTCCTTACACTCAAATGAGGTCTGCCTCCACTGCTTGCTGAGGCAAGAATGCTGTGTGGGTTGATAATGCTATGAATTCAAGTAGTATTGTATAAGGGAAAAATGAGTATTAATGTACAAGGCTCATAGTGTATCTGTGTTCCATGTGTGTTCACGTGCACACAGTATGCTGAGTGCTTAAGTGGACAGTGTTAATGACACTAAAAACTGCCTGCCTGAGCTGCCTTTGCCTTTTAATGCTTTGTGCATATCACCTCCATTACAGCTTCTTGTAGGCACATATATACAAGAAATGTAGTAACACTAAGAGTAGAGTGTACATTTTGAATTTGGATTGTACTGTAAGTCTCGACAAAAGGTTTAATTGACATGCTGAAATATAAAAGCAAAAAAAAAATTCCTTGACTGTATAGTTACATTTAAATTCTTGTTCTGTCCTGTTTGCCTTTTATTTATACATAAAAAGTCAGTGTCACACCCTAACAGAAGCATGTGGAACTGAAGACTTCTGTTCATTTTTTAACTGTTTTTTAGATGCAAACTATGATGAAAATTTAGATGAAATTGTTTGATGCAAACATAATGTAAGACACAGCTGTATCTTTAGTATAATGAATAATCTTTTAAAAGTTGAATTGTAAATTAAAACTGAATCTATGATTCCAAGCATAGTACTTTTATTTCACAATGTAGTTAATGACACCAAAAATATGATTTTCCTCTAAATGTAATTTTCAGAGTAGCTGAAACACAGTAAACACAGTAACTAAACAACTGCACTTTGAGGATTTCAATGCCCACTTTTTTATTCAGTCAGAAATTTAAAGGCTGATTTAGGTTGGTGTTGCCTATCAAGCAAGTTTGACATCTGTCAAACTGACAGGTCATTTTAAAGTGAACAAGGAAAGAAAATGTATTTTTTAACTATTGATTGGGGGGAAAAGTTAAGAGAGTCTTTTAAATAGAAGTGCTTCAGTTGGATGTATCTGAATCTCAGAAGGAATATATAGTGTGTGAGCAAACGAGACCCAAGAGCTGGAGTGAAGAAAAGGGCAAACCAAAGTCATTGTGCTTTGAAGCATGTGTAGTTTATTTAAAGCCAAGATTATGGAAGGATTCTGTTGAACTGGAGTTCAAGTGAAAAAGGATTGAGTGATACTTGTACTAACCTTGTAATTAGTTAGTGTTTCCCAAACATCTTTTTCTGCAGATCACAAAATAATCACAGATGGTTTGAGAATCTTTCAGTTGGGTTTACAATGAGAGAGAAGTGTGAGTTGCTGCTTGTCAGTACTGGTAGGGGTCTCATTTTTGTCAGATACATTTGGTTGTGTGGAGGTGCAGTTGTTTGAGAAACAGGGCAGTAGGGATATGTTTGTTAGCAGTCTGGACTGACATTAATAGACTTGTATATGGTAAGCACTTATGCTGGTACTCCTGATATTAAACATTTGAATGTACTTGTCCCACCAAATCTGGTATATGAAACCCCTTTCAAACAATCTGTACTTCATACTAAACATATTTCTGCAAACTTTGTAGCATAAATGCAGTTCACGATACAGTGAAGACTTTGTGCTACAGCTGGAAAAAGAGCTGGTCCAAGCCAGGCTGAGTGAAGCAGAATCCCATTGTGCCCTGAAGGAGATGCAAGATAAAGTTCTAGAGATGGAAAAGGTAAATCAAACCAGGACCTCTATACAGAATGGCACTAGAAACAAACTACAGGTCCCTGTCCTTCCTAACAAGCAGAACTGTGCTCTAGAACCTTCTCTTCTATGCTTCTGTGACTGCAAGATGCTTTTCAAACCCGAAAGTACAACAATAAAACTAAGGTCTGTTTGTGCAGGGAAAGGTTTGTGAATAACTGATCACTTTTCTTCTATTCCTGAGGCCTGCTGTAGTAGAAAACTTGGATTCTGGTGAAGTCCTGACAAGAAACATCAGTTGTTTCAAAATTATATCCTGCAACAAGGGCAGTGGGCTTAGAGTGAGCATTGAGATGATGTGAAACTGAATATTTTGGAATGGGATAAAGAATGGGTTCAATATTACCATTCCCATTGTGGGCAGGGAAAGAATCCCTTATCCTTTCACTGCTCAGTATTGGAATCTTTATTCCTTTTTGGTGCCATGCTAGCTTGTGACTTATTGATGCCAGAGTTCAAGCTGTACTCAAACCTACTGTCAAACATTTACCTTTTTTGAAGCAAATTTTAACTGCAAGATAAAAAAAAAAAAACAAAAAAACCAATAACTGACCTGGTATAAAGCATGCTTTTCAGATCCTGTTGTACTGGCTTTGAAATTAGTTTCTTTAGGAAATTTTAATGAGCTACGTACCCAGGCTTTGTAGCTAATTAATTGACCCCCTTGAGTCAAGATTTTTCAGTTATCTGGTGGGCTTAGTATTAGTAGGGTGGTAGTTTTTACTGTATTGACCATTGGTAAGGATTCAGGATATAAAATATTTTTCAAAATTCAGGAGACTGCTTAATCTTCATCAGTATAGAGACAGCATACAGTGCAAACTTACCTGTGAAGAAAAACTGGAATAGTGGGATTAGTTCCAGTGCACCAGACAAACTCAGGCATTCAGTAATATTTCAGTGTGTCATAATGAACTTATGCACATGACAAGGTGGCTGAAGTCCCTCAAATTCCTCCAGTAGAGCTCTTTACTGCTGGTAGTGATGAGTCAGGTAATCTGGGGAGCTTCTGCTGAATAACCTGAGACTTGCATGGCCACAATTACAGTGCCACAAGCATTCAGAAACAAACCCTCTCATTTCCTGTATTTGCCAATACTCAGATCCCAAAATTCCCATGGAATGCTAACCAATGGCTTCTGTGCTGTGTTCTGTTAACGTTAATCAGATGCTTTACTCAACTCTCAAGAAAACCTGACAACTGTCACGGTATTATACATCTGCAAAAACACTCAATTTTGCTGAAAACAACTACAGGGAAATAAAGCGATGAAGAATATTCAGCTTTGAATATTTGGTGACCAGTGATTTGTTGTAAGGAGGTTGTAGACAGCCTGTCCATTTTCTTCCCCTCTTGTTTTTCTCCCACATTTCCATCATTAGGATTTTGTCTTTGTTATGCTTTTCCTGGTGTTTTCATGTTTTCTGTTCAGCCTTCTCTCACCTTTCTGCCTTTTCCTCATGTGTCTTGCACTGTTCATCTCTAAGACCTCTTGACTGGTTGTTGTTTATAAATATTAACAGATGGTTCTTTTATCAGCGTATCTGTTCTCCTTTTCAAAGGCTGATGACCTACTTCCTAAAAAATGAATTTCCATTAATTATTTTTCCTGTAAACCTAAATAAAAGTTTTAGCTTTAAGGTGTAATTTCTGTTCACTGTTGCTTTACTTTTTATCAACTAGATCAAAACCTTCCAGATTACTCTCCATATTCTGATAGTGTGTTCAAATATTGTAAATGTAACATTTTGTTAGGGATACCATTCAGGGAAATCTTGAGGTAAGAATACCTAGAACTACTATCTTATAAATTTTTTTTGTAGTTGGCAATTGGAAGTTATTTATACACACAATATCCAGAAGCTTAGATTGTTTGATGGTTTTTATTTTGCAGAGGATGTGTACTTAAAGTTCTCATAGTTATTTTTGCACGTCTATGTTCTTGGACTGGGTTTCACTAAGCACAATTTTATTCAAATGCATATTTAAGAGGATGGTCCTTGTTGCAGAGGAACAGTTCCCTTCCTGATGAGGAAAATGTTGCCAGACTACAAGAAGAACTGATTGCAGTAAAATTAAGAGAAGCAGAATCTTTGATGGGTCTCAAAGAACTAAGACAGCAAGTCAAAGATTTGGAGGAACACTGGCAGGTATGGACTGCACTACAATTTTATGAATTTTTGTTTTCAATGATAAAGCATAAGACTATAAATTGTTGAGATACTGAGATCAAGTAGAAACTAATGATTATGGATCAAACTGCTGAGGTGAGAAAATCCTTAAATTTGGCTGTCACAAGAAACTTCAAAAAATGTTAGAAATTGGTGCCTAGTTGTTATAGATGGCAGAGGGCCTGTGCTACGAGCTAACTGTAATGGTAGGAGGGAGATACCTGATCAGTATTCCTACTTTGCTGCATGTTAAAAAGGGCTAGAAATAGACAAAAGTCTCAGGATATACTTGCAGTTCACTGACTTAATGTAGTTGGGAATGAATGTGTTCAGTTTTTTAATTGTCTGCTCTTAAAACCGGTATGTTTCCATGGGATCAACAGGGGAACTCTAGCTATATGTCCTCATATAACTGAGACCTTAGATGAAGTAAGGAAACACCAGGAATGATCAGGCACTGCCAGCAAAACCATGCTGTTTTTCTAGCGTCACCTAGCTCGTACCACTGGAAGATGGAAAGATCCTCCCAAAAAAAATGCAGTGAATGAGCTCCAGGATGAGCTGATGACAGTGCGCTTGAGAGAAGCAGAAACCCAGGCTGAGCTGAAGGAGACCAAGCAAAGAATGATGGAGGTGGAGACACAGGTATGTTATTGAACACTGGGATGTGGGAATTGAGCTGGATGCTGGCAGTTTGCTGTTATATAGTACATGCCTGCTGATGATCTTCACTATCTACAGGCAGGACCTCAGTTCCAAAATGTGGGATATTTTTACTTCTGTTAGATGGGGATGGGAGAATCTAGTGCTTGCAGTCCAACTTGAATGTCTCTTCTTCAATCTTTTTCAGGATTATGCTTCTTGAATTTCTAATTTGGGTTAGTTGTTAGACACTGAATGTGTGTGCATCTTAAGTCATTAAATCTTAACAGGTGTAATAACAACGAAAGTATGTTTAAGGTGTTTTACTTAAAGGAGTTTTACTTACTGGCAGTTCTGGTAATAGTAATGTTTACCTGGCAGTGTGTGCTTTTTTTGATGGCATTGGTGATTGATGTTCTGCTGAGGTCCTGAATCTGGTTACTAAGCTGGAGATTCAGCAAAGCAGCTGTGTATTGGTCAGGGGTATTTGGCAAAGGTTTGCCTTTAATGTGCCAGAATAGAAAAGCATGGGTTGTGGCTGCTGAGGTTTGTGCAGAAAAGACACTCATACCTTGAATGCTGAGATTGTTTTTGTATAAGTAGGGAGTAAGTTGCTAAGCACCTGAAATGAAAATGCACTAAAGTGGTGAGTTCATATTGTATTAGTAAACTTTCACTCAAGTTAATAAGCACAATGTGCTGATGATTGAGAAGGATTTGCATGAGGCTTCTAAGAAATCTTCCCATGAAATACCTGCTAAATATTACTTTTTGAAAGAGACCTATGCATCCACAAAACTAAACAAACAGCAGCTTTACTTGAAAAGGTTCAGCAATTCCAGAAGCCAGAAGAGCATGTAAGGATGTGCTATTGAAGGTAGATGAAGCAACTGCAAGGCCTAGGAAGGCTTCTTTCTGACAGAGTCACCACTTTGTCTATACCAACTGAATGACTTTCCTCTTGCTTTACTTTTAAAATTTTTAAATTTTTTAAAATTTTCACTGACGTGTCAATATTGTTTTGGTCAGTAGGGGGCGGAGGGATCCTGCTGTTTGGCTCGCATGTACTTAGGTACCTCTCACTTCAGTGTTACACAGGGAGTCTTTGTATGTGCTTAGGCTGTTCACCTGTCATCTGAGAAAAATGCCATTCTCCTGGTATGGTGTGCACAGCTTCAGGTACAAATGCTGTGACTTGTACTTGTGCACTGATCTCAACTAAGGTGCCATGTTGCTTTCAGGGATTTACTGGGCAGGGAAATGTGCAATGTCAGTATTTCTGACATACCTGATCTTTCCTGGATGCATAGTGTATTTGGGATACAAGTTCAAAAATCTGCCTTACTTAGGCAACAAATTGGGAAAAAGAGATCTACTGGAATGTGGTGGAGCTTTGCAATAATGTTCTTACAATGAGTCATCTGTCCAAGAACAATTTGAATATCCTGGTGATAAGCAAAATGTTATGCAGTTTCTTCTGATTACCCTTGGGAAACACTGAATGCTTTTTCATCAAAAGCTTTTTATGGTAAATCACCTCTAGGTCTGTTTTATCAGGCTTCAGGGAGTTAGATTAATATCCTTTCCTTAACATGTATTTTGTTTCCTTGTTTTGGCCATACATTTCAGAACCAGATCAATAGCAATCACTTACGAAGGGCAGAGCAGGAGGTTACCAACCTACAGGAGAAGGTGCAGTATCTTTCTGCACAGAACAAAGGACTCCTGGCTCAGTTGAATGAAGCAAAACGTAGACAAGCAGAGATTGAATGCAAGGTAAATGACATCCTGAAAAAAATGTGTGCTAATATATGTACATTTTAGTCTTGTCTGCCATTATTGGATAAAATTGTGTCTTAACTGAGAAGCATAAATCATAAAACCAAAATTCTTTTTACTGATTTTGACAATATCACTTTGAATTTACTATCTCACAAAAACCACTTGAGGTTTTGACAGAGCTGCTTCTTTGTGGTCCCATGAAGATAAACATTTACTTTAGAGCATGGTTCTACTCAGAAAAGTGTCTGTGTATAATATAAAAAGACTCCTCAGCAACAGGTTTTCATTTTTCTTACTGTCTTGCTAGTTCCATTTGTTTCTAGTGGGACTTGAATGTACAGTGCAGTAAAGAAGTAACTTCTGCTGTCTCGTCAAACTCCATCATAAGCTTTTAGGAAAAAAGACCCTGAAACTTAACTAGAAGAAATTGCTTCTGCTGACTTTCTTGTTTGCCTCTGGTTTCCTAAGTACTATCTTTTTACTGCTGAGATTAATTTTACTGATTTTTTTAAATAATCATAATCTCGGTGATGCCTTCTTCTTATAACCCATAACTTACTTTGATTAGTTTTTGATACTGAAGGTGCTCATTAATCCTTGAGAGATTGAGGATTGAGACTGTGTAATCGATATTCTGGTTTTATGTTGGCTATGTAAAGAGCAATATTAACCTGATTAATGAATTAGTACACATAAGTATTCTCAATGGGATAATACATTTGTAGAACAATGTTGTAAAGCATGAGCTAGAGAAAAGTATGACAGTAATAGACAGAGCACCAGTCATACTCTTTAGAGATTCTGTGAAATTCTGAAAGTAGCTATGGTGAATAGCCAGTGAAATGTCTTCACTGACATCCTAACATTAGATCCTAAAAATTGTTTTGCAGCTAATTTTTACAGTTTTACAAGTAGTATTTGATTATATATCAAAACCAACAACAGTTATTCCTGATTCTATTAACTGATGTTGGATTATTTTTTTTCTGTTTTTTCAAGTTGTTTGAAATCATGCTCTAGTTTTATTTTTGTCTTGGCTAGGTAGCAATATTTCTACTGTCTCAAAAAGTATATATTAAGGTTTTCAACTCCAAATATATGCATAATAAACTGGTATGTTATTTCAGGAGCTTGTATTTTTCTTTTAAAAGATGTCTTGAAATGCTTAAGCAGAAATTAAATTTTTCTTGTAGCCAGTTGCATCTCATACCACCTGTATAGCAACTGTTTTTGCCACAGGTGTGTATTATGTTTTTCCCTTTTTTATCTGACTACTGCTTCTACAGCAAGGATCAATTTGAATTTTTTTCTTGAAACTCACCACTGATCTTTCTAATCAGTTGTGCTAAAGAATTTACGATTTAAGGTTTGTGTCCCTACTGAGTCTTGTCTTTCCTACCATATCAACTTCTGTGGTAATTGCTGAGAACATGCTCTGTTTCAGAGATAAAGCATCAGTGCCATCTAGAGCAGCACTATTGACTCATCTCTGATGCCAAAGTCAAACCAAGCCACTCTTTCCTTCAGCTTTCAGTTAAATACATGCAATCCTGTGGAATTGTCGGTTTGGCTTTATTTAAGCAATCATGCTACAGAATTTAGCAAGAATGGCTAAACTTTGTCTAGCACATGATAGATTTCTCTGAAATGGGCTCCACAGATTACAAATGCAGTTAATCGGGTCCTGTAGATTATATAGCTCCAATACAGGAATATCTAAAAAAGGACCCAAAGCCAAACAAGTAGCATGTTTAGAAGTAGCTCCTATGGATAAGCTTTGATATGTTTGATTTTATTTTAACTGTACTGTCTAATGAAGGGTGATTGAGTACTGTTTGTTTGAAGCACACATTAAAATAACTGAAGTACTGGAACTGATTTGCAGTAAATACAGTTTAGCTACACCAGTCTGCTATAAAAGTAGGTGTACCTGAGCCTAATCTGTCTCTTCCCCAGAGCTGTTTGCTCTTCAGATAATTAGTATTGCTCACTAATTATCTAATGCTGCTTTCTCTCTGTGGTTGTACCAGGCTGCTGACAATATAATATTGTTTTATTCTCTGAAGTCTTGAGGACTTGCCTCATGAAACTGGACATTTTTTTCTCTCTTTTCAAACTCCCTATCATTTATAGACAGACTAGTGGGTTAAGCTTACAGTGGGAGGCCAGTTGTAGGTTATGTGCATTAGTATTTGATTCTGAAATATCTTTGTTTTATACTGTGACTAAGATAGCTGGACTAAATGAGGTTGAGAATACATTTGCTTTTGTATTTAATTAATTTTTTAGGACAAAGGAAATTATTATATAAGTAACTCTTGTGTAGCTTTGCTATTTCTCTGTATAGTCCAAAATTAAAGCATGAGCTGGTTTCTTTTATAATGTTGATTCTGTTTCTTAATTTACAATATAATATTTCTGGGAAATAAGACAGTTGTTTTCTGAACCTTGAAACTGATAACAGCAAGTTTTCATTTCTGCACAGATTTTTTTTTAAATTAATATACTTTAGAGTTTATATTAGATTATTGTATACTCCTCCTATGGGTTAAAATTAAATTTAAGTTCTTTAGAATAGTGGTAGTTTGCAGAGCAGTATATTAAGTTTTCTCAGGATTTTGAGTAAAAGCAGTGCACACTCTTTAATCAGCTAAAACTGGTACTAGTTAGCTGCCCTTTGTGACTTTCCAGAGTAAAGAAGAAGTGATGGCAGTACGGCTCCGTGAGGCAGACCGCATCGCGGCTGTGGCAGAACTCCAGCAGCACATTGCTGAACTAGAAATCCAGGTAACGAGTGATGGCATTAAATGTCAGACTTGATACTGATTAGATTTTGTACTTTGTCAAGTTTTTTCTTCCTCTGCTGTGTTTCTTCATTAGCCTACTGTGAATACAAGACACTGCTTTGCCAAGTGGGATAGTGCTGTATTGCTGAATTCCTGTACAAGCAAAGCCTTAAATCTAACTTGGGCAGATACCTGTGAGCTGTTAATAACTCCTTTTGTACAAATACCATGTTAAAGGCAACATTTTATTTAACTCTGACTTCTGTTTTGGTTTTTTTTCCTTGTAATTGGTACTTCTTACCAATTAAGAGATGAGATTGAAAACATCCTCTATCCAAAAATAGATGCATACAATTTTGATTCCAACAACCATTTTTTTTTGCTTACTCTTCTGCTATGATCAGTATTGAAGGATTTATTGTTAAACTCTTACTCCCTTCATGTAAATCTTGAAACCAGAAATATTTACTGCTACCACGTCACTGTAGGATCTCAAGATGCATCCTTTGGCCTCTGTGTTGTTCCTTACACTTTCAGTTCCTTTTGGAACTTTCACCATCCCATGAACTTGCAGCTCCCTTTATGAGAAAACCTGAGATTGCTGTGCTTTATATTTTCTTGGCTTTGGAAAATCATGATGTCTTACTGTAGTCTGACCTTTCTATAGTCATGTACTGTTGTCCTGTCTGAATTCTGATGCAAAATTTCTCTTGGCTATTTTTACTAAGTTACAATCTAGTTACTATCTGGATTACTTTTTGTTAAACCTGGTATTGCTATTGTGTTTCTTCCCTCTGAAATCTTTCCTTTGAGGTGATGATTTTATTATATAGTTTCAAAGTCACCTTTTCCCTATCATTTCTCAACTAGTTGTATCTTTTTCATCTCTTTTTATATGGAATGGGCACATAAATTTCATTTAGCTTGCATAAAGAATTTTTGTTATATTTCCTCTAATGCAGCAGGCGCTAAACTTATTGAAAGTTAAAGCAATCATTTCTTTAAATCATATACTGCTTAGATAATGCTGTGATCTGTACATTAGACATACCTAGATAAGTATAGTAAGCATTGCATATGAATCAGTTATCATCTAGTAAGATAATGAGAGAGTAGCTGAGTTAAGGTCAATCTTCTGCTCAAATTGACATTTCAAAAAAAGAGAGAGGAAGTTTAAAGGTTACTTCAAACAACGTGATTTAGTAAGTGAGCAGTGAGTACTCATTTTACATTATTTTTACTTTAGCAGAGACTTCAAATGCCATGCTGCTTCCATTATTTGATAGATTCACATCTCTCAAAATGTAGTCAGTATCTTATCAAATGGTGAATCCCCTCATGATCAGTTGGGAATTTTTGGATAGCTGGCATGCAATTCAAATTGTGTTCATTTTTTAATGTAAATACATCTGACTTGGTTTTCTGTTGTTTAACTGACCAAACCGTCCATGCTCCATCATTTTATTGCTCTCTCCTATTCCTATTCCATATTTCTGCTCAGCTTAGGGATCCCTAAGTTGCATGTGGATTTTTGTACCTTGTCATGAGACAGAAAGAACTGCAGGAATGTAATCTTTTTTATGACTCCAGCTAATACAGCCAAAGGACCACACTGTTCCCGTTTTGTCATCATATTGCACGCTCTCAGGTTCAGTTGGTTATCCACATCATCTCTCCTTCCTTTTCACAAGTACTACTTTGCACAATGCAATCTTTAGTTATGTTTTTATTATTATAGGTTTTTTTATTTCCTTCCAAAGTATATTTCAAGTCCCAGTCTTTATGGTATTCTCAGATTATCACCTGCTAATAATTTCTTCAGGTGGGTCTCAGTAAAATTCTTGATTTTCTTCACAAAAGTGAGAGTGGCTGGGCTTTCTTTGTCTACAGTGTGGAGTATGAAGTCATTTTGTGGCTGAGATTCATGTTCATTTGATGAGTTTGCGCTGTTAGGTTTTTGGTGAGCATCTGATCTCAAACTTACACTTGCAGGAAAAATAATTTCTTCAATTGTGAAATACAGATTTTGGGTGTGAACTTTATAGTATTTAAAACAAATAATTTAGCAGAATTAAGTTCTGCTAATGTTTATTTATTTTTGACACTATAGACATTACCTGAACTGCTTTTATTGTACTGTGGTAGATGTCTAGGTTTTTTAAAAAATCTAAGCAGATATTTTTCGCCAGTGTGTTTTGCCAGCAAATACGAAACTTATGATCAGAACTTCCTTTTTGGGTACTCATGCTCAAAAGCCTTTGAAACACCTGCACCAAAAGAAATGTAATAATGGAGTTGGAAATCCTGAATTCCCAAAGCTTGTCAGCCATAAAACATGCAATTGATAACAGGGTTTAAACAAAAGTGAATTTTAAAGGAGATTGAAAGTCTAGATAACTTCTTCATCACTGGAGAAAGAGCTGCCTCCCACTCTCTTCTGTTCAGCTTGTAATCAGGTGACAGCTGTAATTGCTGTCACCTGATGTGGGGAGCAGAGGCCCTTTTAATCAGAACTTGCCTTAATGACTTGAAATGCAATATTTAGTACTAGAAATACATTTAGCCAGTCTTGGAGAATAGGCACCAGGATTAAAGTACAGATTCACAGTGCATCACAAATAGGTCTGCTTGTCAAGCTGTTTCAAAGCTGATAAAAATGAAGGGAGGAAGTTAACCTACCACATAACCTTCTCTTTTTTTTTTTGAGGGGGGTGGTGCTTTTCTAAGAAGTTCAAGGGATTCATTGCCAGGTCCACATGGGCCATAGCAACACTTAACCTAAATTGCAAGGTTTTCTTTTAAAAGTTTACGTAGGTGTAGGTGCAAGACGGTGATGTTAAATTTGTAATGCAGAGTATCACTACTCCCACATAAGAACTGATCTGACATCACACACACACATGCTAGATTTAAATCACAGTTTCTGGGTCACTCTTAGTTTTAGTTAGTAATAATGACAGGGATGGAGAGTGAACTATGATTCAATAACAGATGTAATTCTGCAACAAGTTGTCAGTTTATGTCGTTAAGAAGTTATTTCTTAATATATTCTAAATGTCACCTTGTCTTGTTTGAGCATTCAGTTCATGATGCTGAGCTTTTAAACTTTTGTGTAAGTATATTGAAATGCAATGAGTTGTCCAATACATGATGGATATTCTAGGTCTTTCTTTAGACTTTCTGTGCAAAAGTAGCATGGAATTGAAGCATAACTGAAGTTTAACTTATGTTGCACATACCTAAGGTCCAGAAGTGACAAAGAAAAACCCTGATGTTATAACCCTGTTATGTAGAAACAAAGGTTTACTTTGTCAGCATTTGTTTATTTGTTTACTTCTCTAGCAAGTCTTTATTTTTCTCTCACTTGCCAGTTCAGCTTATGTTTGGGAGGTAAACATAGAATCACAGAATGGCTTGGATTGCAAGGAATCTTGAAGATCTTTTTTCAACCTCCCTGCCATGGGCAGGACAGCTTTCCCTAGACCAGGCTGCTTTACCATCTTCACACTAAACAATTTCTTCCTAATATCCAATCTCAATCTACCCACTTTCAGTTTAAAGCCATTCCCTGTTGTCCTGTGACTATATGCCCTTGTCAAAATTCCCTCTGCAGCTCTCTTGTAGCCTCCTTAGGAAAGGGCTCCAAGGTCTCTGAAATGAGCATACAAAGTTCTTTCTGGTTGCATATGGGCAGCCCTGCTGGTCCACTGATGTTTTTTTGGTTTTTTAAGTTTTTCCTGACAGTAATTGAAAGAAGAATAGAAAAATTCAGGCAAGGTTAAATCAGTTACAAGCTTCAGTCACTCAGCTGCCTAGGGTGAGGAGCAGTAGGCCAGTGGAAGTGTAGACAGGTTGAGGAAGCAGAGTGGGACAGCTGTCGCCTCTGCTTGGCAGCTTAATTCCTTCCCCTCCATTTCTATGCAGGCTGGTGACTGTAGTATCCTCTTAAGTTATCCATGCCTGGGTTGTGTTGGGCAGCATAGAGCATACTTGTAATATGAAAAGCTAGTTTTACATCTGAGTAATCTTATGCAAAAACTATCCATAAGAATTAATTCTTCTTTTGGTGAGGTTGATCTGGACAGACAATAACATCACTTCTTGCTGCTGTGTTTCCTGGCAGATTCAGAGAATTGTGTCACATTTACCCTATCTCTAACCTGGTCAAAGCAGCTTTGAGAACAACTGTAAAGGAAATCCATGATTGTGCTAGTAATCTCTCCACAGCTTAACTTTTAGCACTATTTCTTTAGAATGAAGCCTTTCTGTGACCTCTGTTTAATAACTTTTCCAAGTACTGACTGTTCAGTAAAGAAATTGTTTCCATCTTTTCAAATTACAGGAAACCCTTTTTTTACTCTTATCAATAGTGGTGTGTGATGTTAGTGATGTGTTTTCTGAAAGTCTAGAATGAGTCACTGTAAAGTCACTGAAAGGACACTAGTTACCACATCTACCCTTCTGAATATACTTAATTTACATTTTTAATGCAGTGTCTTTTGCCACAAAGTAAGAATTTTAAAGCCTCTCCTGAAAAGAGGCTGAGGCAAGTTGTTACCAAGTAAATATTTCTAAGTCAGAAAAGATCAAATTAAGGCTGTTAGGGAAATATCCTATCTTTGAGTCATTTTTAGTAAAGATGTTACTGAGGAACAAACAGTTGTCTAGTGTGCCTGGAGTTGACTGCCTAGGTAAATATTTTTTCTGTGATTTTAAGTTCACAGTTATTAAAATGAAAACAACCCTAGATGTTTTCTTATTATTTAAAGTAGCTTATTTTCTTATTGATGTATATTTCCTTTCCTATTCAATGTGAAAATTGAGTGTTTTAGCAAAGTTGTACTCCTGTTGGGATGAAACACCTGCAACTGGAATTTGATTACACCAATCTCTGTGTCTTAAACTTTGATCAAGCAGCAAAAGCCAGCTTAAGGCCTCCAGTGTTTTTTCAGGTGCTTTCTGGTGATTTATTTATTTGTTGTATAAACCCTTTTTTATTATGAGTACCAAACTTGATTTTGGGAGGCCGTTATACAGTAATGGTTTCAGGTATTTTAAATCTGCATTTTTTTAAGCAGTCTGTCCCTGCACTCTTGTGTTGCCAGCTATACATCCTGGCCTGATGCTAAATGAATTTGAAAGGTCTCCATATGTTCAGGAGTTCTCAGTAGCATCAGGTGGCTTTTTGAGACTAGCTGTTGCTTCTTGGCAAGATGCTTTTTTCTTAGAAAGCCAGACAAAAGAGCATTTGAGTGTGATATGAAAACCATGATTCTCAGCTGATAGTTTTTTGTAGACAGAATTTTTTCTCATTTTAAGGAGAAAATTTTTGGAGTTTAGGTTTTTCTTCTCAGGAGCTCTCAGTGTAGCTCTTGATATGCACACAAGTACAGTCACTCTACTGCTTCACAGCAGGATGAGAGAGGTGAGAGCTTCCAAAACCGTGAAGGGGCCTGAGTTCTGTTTTAGCAGCGGGTTTTTTTGATCTATAGAGCTCATTTCCTGCTTGGCTGCCCGTGCTACTCCCACTATATACACAGCCTCTGGGGCAGGGGGTTGGACTGTGGATTGCCTGAGTACCCTGCTGCAAGCACCGTGTGGAGGGTGATGGCTGCCACGAGGTGTTTGTTACCCTGGGAAAGATTTCTAACCCTGGTGCTGCTGTTGGAGCTGGTCTGTCAGAAAAGACTAAAAAGGAGCAGTTAAAAGTCTTCAAAAGCAGTGAAATCAAGATGATGCATCTTTAATGACAGTGTAACACCAGTTGGCATTGCTGGTCTAAAAATCCTTCAGGCAAGAGGAGGTGGGCACTGCAGCGGTGCCGGTATGCAGACGCAGTACGCCAGGGATGTGGGTGTAGAGATTCATTCACATGTGACTGCAGGAGGTTTTAAACAAATTCCTACATTCTAGAATTGACTAGCTTTCATTATTTTGCAATTCTGATAATACCCACACTTTGCTTATTTATACGTTCTCTGATTTTTTTCTCTGTATATTAAATTTTACATTTAAAATTACTATGATTTGCCTAGCAACCAGCTAGTTCTTGTGTTGTGACTTCTCCAAATATCACAGATTTGTTATAAGAGTGCTCCCCCTCACCCTCAACCACCAAAAAACCGAGCAAGCAACCCACATCCTATGTGAATAACTCTAGATTTAAACAATTTAACATGGAGATTACTAATTACTTATGCTGTTCTCTTTTAAAAGGTGTGACATTCAGACCTTAAAGACTTCTAAATTGTAAGTGGAGTCTTAACATTCAGTTTTGAACCCTTACTGTTGATTTGAGTGCTTTCCTCAGAGCTGCTCAAGCACAGTAGTCCAAAACTATTCAAGCACAGTATACAAGCAATGCAGAGTTAAATGTCCTGTTCCTACTAAAGTAAATGCCACAATAGGAAGCATTAAATGAAATTAAGCTGCATGAAAGCAATTTAATTTTTATGTCAGTGCAGCTGTATAGGAACTGGTAGTATGGCTTCACCTTGACTACTGTGTGCAGTCCTTGGCTCCGCTATTTCAGAAGGATGTGAAGGTCCTTGAATGTGTCCAGAGGGAAATAAAGCTGGTGAAAGGGCTGAAAACAAAGTCCTGTGAGGAGTGGCTAAGGATTTTGGGCTCAACTTAGTTCAGAGACAAGGAAGCTGAGGGGTGGTGGTGTCAAACTCCCCTAATGAAAAACGACTGTTAAAGAATATTACTACCAAATTTAAGTTCCTCACATTCAAATTTGCCTTTGATTAATGAATGCTCATCATAAGGTGGGAATTATTTGCATTAAGTTCAGATGATGTTCTAACATGAAATGTCAATGGAAGGTGAAACAATTTGGAAGATCATGGTAATACTTTGTACTTGTATAAAAATGTATGTATTGATGAGAAATATCAGTCTCATTTCACAGTATTAAAGAATATTGGGTAACTTAAAAATGATAATATGACAGATAAATTTTGAAGGACTTTTTTGTTCATTAGACAAAGGTAAGCTTTCAGCTGTCTACTTATTATTTATTCTCTAAATTAGATTATTTGGATAAAAATTAAAATATATTTTAATGCTGTGCTGTCTGACTCCTGCATGTTTTCCAGTAGTTTGCTGCCACACTTGCATAAGAATCTTTAAAAGACAATGGCATGATCAGCATAGTAGACTATACTTTTCTGTTGGTCAGGGATGAGCAGCAGATGTAAAGAAGACTCAGATATCTTGTAGTAATTTTTTTCCTATGTCATCCTTCCAATTTATCCACTGTAGACAGACTGGTAGCCCATAGAACATGGGATTATTTAATTAGGAAGATGATTTTTTATCAGCAAGTTAAAAGGATCAGCTTCTGATTACTTGCATTTTGGATGTTGCAAGAGGAAGTTACAGCATGACCTTTCTAAAAGTATGTTTGTCGAAGATGCAGGGTTATTTTTTTTTGGTTTGTGAATTGCTAGCTCTACAAAATCTGTAGTTCTGAAAGGAAAACTGAAACTTACTTGCCTTTCAGTAATAATGGCCCCCTTACAAGCCAGGCTTATGCCTTCCATTCAGCTCTGACTGTAGCTACGGTCAGTTCTTCCATGAGCAAATACACACAATTTCTCTGTAATATCTGCATTGACTTTACAGTGTTATTCCTAGAATAAAAAGTAACCATAACACCACTTCAATGTAATGGAAGTGTGGAATTCCCATATGCTATATGCAAACAGCTTTCAGCTGTTTGTGTGCCAAACCCAACCTGCTGAATGTTCCTGCTTCTGCTGTTAGTTTATACAGTCTGACCTTGGCAGTGCCTGTTTCACAGCCCCTTGTGCACCCAGCTTCTACCTAAGCTCAGCTGTTTGTTACACTTCTGTTTTAGAAGGGCTATGGCATCTCTCTTCTGCTTCTGCTAAAGCTTTGCTTTACTGTTGCATTTTGATTGCAGAGTGCGTAGTGACGTAGTAGAGTCCATAGTGTAAGAGGCTTAAATGGGAAAGTCAAGGTTTCAAACAGAGGGAAAGGACTTAAATTTCCCCCATATATTCCTGCTACCTTAAGAGATCAGGTCGTGCTCATTGTGTGGAATCTTAGTGTCTGAGAGCAAGGAAGATTTTTTCATATGCTGATGTATTTTTAGTCTGCAGGTTATGTTGCTTTTGTTTCTTAGGCCAGTAGTCATTCTTGTAGAGAGAGATGAGGGGGTTAGACTGCTTTTGGGTTTTTTTGATCAATTTAGGACAGGAACTATTGTTAACATTAATGCTACCTTTCTGTACGTGTGTGAATGTGGCCATAGGTTACATTGGAAATTAGGTTCAGTGTGGAAATAGGCATTGAAACATCTTGTTCTTGTTACAGATTTTGGGAGTTAATAGTGATTATGATAAAATTATTTTTTGAGTAATTTTGTGATGCATACCCCACTGCAAGGAAAACAAAGCCTGAAAAGTGATATGGCTTCGATATTGCCAATACTGACAGTGTTCTAGATTGTTCTCTTCATCCAGCAAAAGGGTTTGGAAGGTAGCATGTTATCTCTTCTCATAGTTTTGTCCTGGGGTTTATATTTCAGAAGGATGTTTTAAAGGAACCTCTCCATTAAAGCTTTTTGTCTTATCCTTTGATGAACAGTTAACACTTCATTCTAAAAGGTATTTAACCTCTCTTTGCTAATGACTTTCAATTTGGCTGTTGAAGTAAACTGTTTGCTTTCTTCAAGTGTAATTAAAACTTCAGCAAAATGAGCTATAGGTAGAAAAACAAGATATTCCCATTATATTTGTATTTCTGTAATATATTGCTCATATGTGATTTACAGTCAAGGTAAAGGGTTTTATAAAACCAAGATGCTTGCATTCTCTAGAGCTGGTGGCTGCTTCAAAAATTATTTAGCTAGAAAAAGGCAAGAACAGAGTTGTTCTGCATTTTATTAGTAGCAAGTAGAAAATATGGAGTGTATTCCTCATCAGGGTGATCATTTATCTCAGATCTGCCAGGTTTGGTTCAGTCACATTAGGATTCCCTTTAGGGACAAGATGGAAACCAGTGCTGCAGGCATTCAGTGCAAGCCTTTTCAAGCATCCTGAAATGTAGGAGCTGCATTTGATTGACAAATGAGGGAAACATCATATTCATCTTAATCTATTGTTTCTGTTTGCTTTGTTTTTTACTTGCCAGCTTTTCTGTATGCCTCTTGAAGCATTGGTATGAGGGGACATTAATTTATACTGTCTGGAACTCCTACATGACAAATACCACAATATTTTGGATGTTACAGCTCTTCTTACAGGACAAAAGAAACTTGTCTTATATAGTGTTTCCTAGTGCATGTCCTACAAAGCAAGGAAAGAATTGTTTTGTTAATTGGAGACAAAAGAAAATGTGTTGTTGCTAAAGGATAAACTTTAGTGAAAATAAAATATGCTATGTTCCATGTATTGAGAGTGTTCTGTAGGAGTGGTTTACTAAAATGCAATCTCTTGTGCAAAGGATGTGGATTCCACCTGTGAAGCTGTTAATTCTTCCTGCTCCTCCATAGAATCCTGCATTGTACTGTTGAGAGAGTCAGCTTGGTCTGAGCCACTGTCAGATAGCTGCTGGAACTTCAACTAAATGAAAGTGCTCAGTGGTGTCTGGGAATAGCTTCTGTTCGTGACAGAAATATGCAGACAGTTAAAATAAGATTTTTAATATAGTAGATCTTTGAATAATTTGAATATGATTCCTTTTTTTAACCAAAACAGAAAGAAGAAGGAAAAATTCAAGGGCAGCTTAATAAATCTGATTCTAACCAGTACATCAGAGAGCTGAAAGATCAGATAGCTGAGCTGCATCATGAGGTGAGTGATATTATACTACAGTCTCTGATCTCTGGTAACTTTTGTCCTTTCACCTGTGGCAGGTTTTGCTTATTTAATAGTTATTACATCTTCAGTACCTGTTTTTGTTGAAGTACATTATTTTAAATTAATGCAATAAAACTCTTACACAAGAATCTTGCCTTTATCTTGGAATGTAAGAGAACAAAACAGTGATTAGTTTTGTGATTTGACATTAAATGAGATTGGCATTTATATTCCATCTTGACTTTTTCTTTAATTTCATGAATTGATCATATTCATGTTGCATTTACTCCATTTGGAACTGCATATATGAAAATAAGCCCCTTGATGTCTCTATTTGTTACAGCTGTTAAGGCCACTATAGTTAGAAGCTAAACCTCACTTGTGCAAGTAGAAGAATTCATGTGTAAATTTTCTGGTTCTTGCTGTTGCAAGGATGAATTTTATGTGGTAGTATACTGAGATTGCTTAAAAAAAAAAAAAAAAGGGTGCTTGCTTAACATCAGTTAACAGATTTTTAACTTTTAAACTGCCAAAACCTTCAATCTATGAAATGTCTGTCTTCAAACTTCCTTGCTCTAATAGTTGTAGTAACTTTCTGTTAGTTAAAAAGATCAGAAGATCTTGAAACCGAAATGGCTTATGTAACTCCTGTGCTCACTGGCTCATTTCAGTTCATGCTGCATTGTGAAGAAATGTCTTTACCCAATACTCCATCGTGTGCAAAATGCCTGCTCATCTTTGCATAGAATCTCTTTCTAGCCTTTTCATACACAGCTCTGAGAATGTTGCTTAAAACCACAGGATTGAAAAGCAATTCGACCTAATTGTTTGTTGCTGTTTTGCTTTTATTAAATAAACACATCCTTTCTTTAAGTGTAGATAGTGTTTTCATAACAATCTGAGTAGATCCAAGCTTTTAGGATCAATCCCTTGAGACTTATAACACTCTTGAGGATCTTGGAATGTTGTCTCTGCTATAGATCACTATGCTATAGATGTAGGATAGTCTCTAGGGTCATCAGTCCAGCACCTTTACTAATCATTAAGCTCACTTAAAAACAGATTTAAAAATCAATAACCTGGCTTTCTCCATTAAAGCACTCTAATTAGTTTTCTTTGTTGCTTGCTTGAAGAATTCCCAGAAAGCTAGATATTTAGTGTATTTTTGCATTATGACCGAAATAAGGCACTGTACTGACTTTTTCCTCTGCTCACTGTAGGTTTAAAAGGTAAGAAACACTGCTTTGGGGGGAAAGTAGAATTATTCTTGGAAAGATGTTGCATAATTTTCTCTATACAATCATCTGTTTCGTGCCTGGCTGAGCAACTGAATTGTCATGAAGGCAGGCAATGTTGTACATCTGTAAATGTGTATAAGTTAACGTGAACTGGTTGGAAAGAAGATGAGAGAAGGTGTTCATAAGCTGACAGAATAATGATAATTCTGAGTAATACCACTGATTTCCTGGTTCAGTTCATTCTAGTCAAATCTTTATCAGCATTTCAATTTGGCAGAAAGGAAATGCTGTGAAGAACATGAATTTCAACAATAGCAGAGTTTGAGTAATTTCATGTAGAAGAGCACTCCTATTCCCCGATATGTGCTTTGTGGTGGCTAAATTTTTAATTTCCAAGCTAGAGAAACGCTATAGGAAGGAAGTCCTTCCAGGAGATATAGGAACAGTAAGAAGAAATGGTTTGACTTGATGATTTTACAGTTATTTTCTGACTAGTCATTCTATGATTTCATGAAACTCTGTATGTAATAGATGTGTGCTACTTTGGCAGCATTCTGCATGCTTTTTACACAGACTATATTCAGGCCTGGAAGTCTTTGTTTACTAATGATTTATTTTTCCCTTTCCCCTTTACTGTTACCTATTTATTTGTCTAGTTTTTAAATCAAATCTTAAGAGGGAAAGCAATGTTTCCTCAAAAAACAAAATCTGAAGAAAATGGCAACAGGAAGAGGCAAAAATGTTTGCTCTCAACTGCTAAATTTTAGAAGTATAATTCATTCAATACTAGTTAAATAAACAACTTCCTTAAATCTGCACTGAAGTGTCCTCATGCATACATCCATTAATGGCCATGCTCTTTGTTTTTTGGCTAGCTGCTTTCTGATTCTACTTCTGCAAAAGCTAAAAGAAACGTTACACGTTTGCAAATGCATCTTCCTGAAGATAGGGTGATGGTGTGTGTGACATGCTGACCACAATCTCCAACTGGTTACCTTTTAAAAGGCACTGGAAAAGGAACAGAGCTCTTGGGGACTCTATGGTTACCTTCTAATACATTGTAATTGTGGAACTTTAAACTGCACATAAATGCAAATGTTAATTAAAGCAAAACTTATAATTTAAGGTAGGGGTGGGACGGGTATATGTGAAACAAGGTGAAATGTCGTGGCATGGCCATCAATGTTGATTCTGCATATTTAATTTTTTCCCTCTACAGCACTGCATTTTTACAGATTTTTACACCAAAAAAGTTGCAGGTTCTCCATCTGAAAGATGGAACAAAATAATGACCAAATTCTTTATTGAATACAAGTAACTGCTGACTAAGTCCATATTCTGGCCTTTGGATAAACACTATTTCGTGCCTTTGGCCAGCAGTATGAATGTAAATGTTTCTGTGACAGTGGAGCCTGGAGGAGCTAAATACTTTAATTCTGTTCTGTGATATCATCCATCAGATGGCAATGATACCAAGTTTTGGCAACAACATGGTCCATCCTAATTGCAGAATTCTTGTGAAAGTTCTCCTGTTCCATCAGTGTTTGCAAGCCAGGCTAGTAGCCAGGCACAGGGAAATCTGGAATATCAGCGAGGAACACCAATAAGGACAGCAGAGTGTCACTATTACTGAGCAGTGTCTAAAGGTGAATTCTTCACTAAAAGGTGGGTTGGGAGTGGGAGTTTGCTATGGTACAGGTGCAACAAGCTGCTGCTGTACTATCTCTCAGCTTTCAGGGTGAGAAAAGTTTGGCCCTTTGTATTCAGATATTTCTCTTACTCATTCCAGTGTGATAACCTAAATCAGCTATGTGTTGGAACTCTGCATGTTGTATCAAATGATTAATCAATGGATTCAGATTACAAAGTGCAATTGGTTGGAAGTTTTTGTAAGTATGAACAAAACTTCTGAAAAATCAAAATAAGTTTGGTCACCTTTCCTGAGCTCAAAAATTTACATGCTTGTGAAGAATAATGCAGCTTGCAGCTAAAAGGATAAATTTCAGCTGCTTTTACTACTCACCTAGGAATAGTAATGCTGCAGTCGTCTTCAAATAACATTATAAAAATACTTATTTGCAGTAAATTCAAGTTGTGTTCCTGTTTCTGAATAAAACTACGCATACTGGAAATTGGTATTATGGCACCCAAACCTTAACCAATGAGCCACACTGGTATTAAATGTACAAAGTAATTAAATAGAAAAAGATGCCTTTTTTCTTACCATTCAAACACTGTAAAATTACTATAAATGGAATTATTGGATTTTTGGCTTGTTCTAACAAGCTGCCTGCCGGATTCCTTTTTTACCAAACCAGAGGATTTCTGTAGCATGGTAATCTGAGTTGAATATTAACTACTTCAAAGTAAGTATGAACACTTCAGGAGAACAGACAAAATTTGGAGCTTTGAGAACATTATAACTAGAAGTTGTCAACTTCTGCTCTACTAGGCTCTAGATTTCTGTAAACTTCTGCTTTACTGATCAGCACTGCAGTCTTAGGTTAATGGTTGGACTCTGCAGAGGCTTTTTCCAACCTTTACAATTCTGTGGTTCTATGCACATTGTCTTAAATCTGTTTACATGCACCTCTTTCTTTGCACTGATTTGAACAACCAATTATGAGTTAGAATATAAATATTAAGTATAATTTGTAATGTTATGTAAAATAGTGCATTAATTCTTAAATTCCTCAGTGCAACCATAACTCCACTCAGAAATCAAGTACATGTAGATCAATTATTATTTACTTGCATTTTGAATTAGTAAGCATATCTGGTTTTTTACTCATTCCCTAGAAAGCTACTGACAGCTATCCTGTAATCTTTTACACAACCTATCAGTATTCAAAGAACAGCTGATGCATACTGAAAGGACACTCAGACTGAAGTATTTCTAGTTAGCCAGTAGCTAATCCTGTGATCAGTCATGTATGTTGAGTGCTGTACTTCCTTTCCTCCTTACTGGCTAAGTTTGTGATTTATTTGGCACAAAGTTGTTAGGTGGTTGTGACTTATGACTTTATTGTTGAAGGTTGAAACTATTGTGAAAACCTGAAATGATCAAGGATCATCACAAACGTGACATCATGATGTAAATTTCTTTGAGAGCTTTCAATATGTCCTAGCCTTAGACACTCTGCCTTCTCAGAATCTCGGGTTCAGTTGCCATTTGTCCTTTTCATTAACTGAAGGCTTTCCACCTAGCATTTGCTTTCTTGTTTCTTTTCCCTCCCATTCTTAAAGCTATCTCTGCAGCATTCTTGACTTCTAGCTTAGTGGTATTTTAACTTTCTCAATGTGCAGCTCCTGCAGGCTGCAGCTTTTGTTACTCTTGTCAGTAAGTACAGAAGCTTGGCTGCCCTATGTTTGCTACAGGAGAAATAAGGTGTAGTGATCAGTCTGTTCTGTCACTTGACCTCCCAGTTCTTGTGCTTTAACTGATGTAACATAAATGGCCTGAGCACACAGACCCTTTAAGGTTGTCCTGTGCTTAGATACTTTCAGGCTGCCCCAGGAATGCTAACGTTTCACAGAAGTTGCCTTTGATTAGATACAGAAATGTTGTGTGAAAGCAACTTCTGTGAAACATTTTTACTGTTCAAGAGAATAGATCACTAAGTAGTTAGTACTGAAGTAAAGCTGTTAAACTATGTGGAAATAAATACATTGGAAGTTTGGCCTGTTACAAGTTTCCATTAAGTAAATTTGAATGCTTAAGAAAAACTATTATTATTGAAAAAGCTGTTACTCTTT